AAGGGAGAATGAAATCGCGTTCTCTTTAACAATGCGCAATCGTTTTCTTTTTCCAAATATAGTCGTTGACGCTCAGCACGGGCTTTATTGCAAACCAGGAAACAACAATAACGCGTTTGAAATGTCTTGTGCGGTTTTACGTTGCTGAAGAAACGTCTGACTTTCTCTTTTACAGCTGTAAAGGTAGGGCATATTTCCACTGTATTTGACGGACTTATTTTGTCGTAAATATCTTCGATTATCCGTTTTTATAATAGCTGCACACATCTGATATCAGCAATATTGCATCCGTGTAGTAATACTTCATGTATAATTGAATACTAAATGTTTTGTATTGGTACTCTATGAGTGTTATGATGACATGAACTGACTCCTCAGAAGCTGCAGCCTCTTTCAACCGGACCTTTAAACCCAATTATACACTTTTAAATGAGTCGTTGTAAAATACATGCTATGTCACGAATGTGTCATAAAGGTGACCTGACATGTCCTTACGTGTCCTTTAAATTGAACTAATCCTAACTTATTTCTTACACTTTTAGGGAACAGAGGTTTGTTTCTGTACTGTATAAAAGGCATTTTTTGAAAAATGCATACAAAGCAAGTACAGCAAGTTGTGAAAAAACAAAACAAAAGTAGACAAGAAAAAAGTTACTCACTTATAATTGAGTAGCAACATATACTGTCAATTTATGTGTGGCTCAGCCAGATTCCTGGCTGCAAGACAATCTTCCTAACTGCAGCTTGCAAAGTGATTTAAGCTAATGAGAAAACCACAGTTAAATGATGTAAACATACAGGATTTTCCAAAGGCTAAGTTTAAATTCTTTTTAAATCCAGGTCTAAAAAAGAACTGTGCTTTACAGCAGAGATGTCTTGTGATGTCTTGAGACATTATTCCTCTTTTTGATCTAATCTGTAATTCATGATGGTTTATTTTTGGATGTATCTCTTTTGCATTTTTTGCTTAGAACATGATTTGTACTCATTGTTCCGTGAATATTAATAATTCATTGCAGTGAAAGGCACAACACATTTCAGACATGGTAGTGTCTTCTCAAATTCCTCCACAGCTCTAAAATTAGGGCTCATGCGTCTCTGTTAAGGGGCCTCTACTTAGAGTCTCATGTGCTGACATGGGGGCCGAGAGGCAACAATCATGTTTAGGGGCCCCTCCATCTAAATGAGACTCGAGCAAGGTCTGACCCACTTCTTTCAAGTTATTTAAAACTGTGAAAATTGGGCAAATGTTTGCATCAAAGATATCTACTGTACCAGCAAAGATTAGGTCCTACCAGCACAAGGTCATGAGTAGGGTCAAATGATATACTACGCTGGAATTGGTTGCTGGGCTAGATATAATTTTCTGATCTATTACAGAGCAGTGCGTTGTAATAGATCTTCTTAAGTGGCACATATTCATGTACATAGTGAAGGAGACAATGTTAAGTCTTAACAACAACCATCAAAACATATGCAGTACATAGTGTATTAAAACCATGTAAAGTTGAACAATCGCTTAACCTTCAACCTTCATCTTCAACATTCTTTCCATTTAAAGACATGAAATTGCACTGCAACACTGAGCTCTTCTCACATCACTGCTCTGACATGGTTTGATAAAATTGGATGGAAAACTGTTGTTTTCTGTAGGATTACCAGACCTTGTAAAAGAGGAAAGAAAGGTCAAGGTGGCAACAGGGATTTGCTGTATGTGGGTCATGGAAAGTTGCACAATTACTGGACAGGAACCCTGGCACCTAATGTCCTTCTCTGTCCTCAGACATTCCAGCCATAGTGCTGTTCTCGTCACCCCACTAGAGTTGTATGTCTTCAGTGGTTTGGTTGACGTATACACGAGGCCATGGCAGGTGTGGGCTAATAAACACCTCTATCTTTAAAGGTTGATTGAGTTCAAGAAAGGTGATGATAATAACTGTGCTGTGGATTAGCAGATTTAAAACATAGTTTACAGTTTTAAACTTAACTTACATTTGTTTAATTGTTCTTCCACTTTCATGTCTCCCTCTAACAGACCCGTCAGACCATGAACTACGTGGGCCAGTTGGCGGGCCAGGTCTTTGTCCAGGTCAAAGAGTTGTATCGAGGCCTCAATCCCGCCACCCTCTCAGGCTGCATTGACGTAATTGTAGTCAGGCAGCCTGATGGCTCCCTGCAATGCTCGCCTTTTCATGTTCGCTTCGGCAAGATGGGCGTCCTCAGATCCAGAGAGAAACTGGTAAGGAGAATAAAAATATCCTATTTTCAAAGTAGTGTTTGTTTTAATGAATGCTTTCTCAATTTGCTCCTATACCTGTTTCTTCAGGTGGACATTATGATCAATGGAGAAGCAGTGGCTCTGCACATGAAGCTTGGAGACAATGGAGAGGCATTCTTTGTGAAGGAAACTGAAAATGATCAGGTACAAAGATCACTGCTAGTAGCTGCTATTTTTAGAAATATATTTCTCTATTCTTTTGAAAGTGTGTTTTGATTGGCCACTAAAATGTTAAAACCCAAACAGAAACACTGTCCTTTGTTCAAATGAACAACTCAATCCAGAAGTTGGAAATGTCTTCCAAGTCATTGGCATATTTTGAAATCAATGTAATCAAAGTGGTGTCATGTTTAACTGACTCAAAATCTGTTCCCTAAGGCGACGGTAAATCATCTGTGACCACGGCACAAGGCGCTTTTAATAGATACTTATAAAAACAAGGATTTAAATCAAAACACACAGTATTCTCCACCTCCAGACACACCCATGTTTACAGACGAGAAGCCTTATGCAAACAGACTGTCTCCTCCCACTCTGCTGTAGTAATTCACACAGGGTCGTACTGAAGGCACAGTTGGCACAGCAGCCAGGAATTTCTTCATTTTCTCTCCAGCCGAACAACAATCCTCTGTTCATCTGCAAGTGCATGCACTATTACTGGTCTATAATGAGTGAATTACGTAGCAAAAAGATTAAAGAGATATGCCATGAGTGGAGATCCCTGGCAATAGGAATAAGCATGAAGAAAAGGCTTGAAAGGCCTGTGCGTGTGTGTGGAGCTAAAATGTGTTCAAAGATTTGTTAAAGTTAAACAGATCAGAACTGTGTTGCATTTCTACTGTTATTGTCCAGCTGAGGTTTTTGAATTTCACAATTCATGACCCACATCATGTGTTCTGCTGCTGGAAGAGAAATGTTGGCCAGTCGCACGTGCAGTAAAATGTATAAACAAGTGGTGAGTGAGTGAGGCTGAGACAGGCTCCAACAAGGGGAGAGGGGGATTTCTTCTCCCTCCAGCAGTGTCAAATTATTCTCAGGCCTGGAAAAGAAAGGAGGGGAGGAGTCTTGTCTCTTTGAACCTCTGGCATAGGAAAGAGAAAAGTCTGCAAACATACACACACACACACACACACCATGTACACACACTGATTTACACTCCGCCTGTGTCCTGACAGCCGAGGTCTCTCCTGGAAAGAATTTTCTTTTCCTAGAAGGCAGGAAAACCAAAAAAAAAAAAGGGAACTACTGTGAAAGGAGTGAGAGGAGTTGTCTTGCTCTGGCTGTTCGTTTTTTACTGGCAAACCTCTATGTCTGCAGGGGGAATTACAGCAAACCGCTTGGCAGTGATTATACATATTTTCCTTTGTCCACAATAGTGAAAAACAACAACAGCCAGTCATGTGTACTACAGGAAAAACAAATGAATATAGTTGAAATGGATATGTTTGAAGTGGAGTGTTTTCACAACTAAAGACATGGTAATTGGGTGTTAATTGTAGATGCTTAACTGCCAGAAGGTGAAAAAACACTGTAAATGATGTTTCTAGACTATGGCCCGGTCAGAAAACATGTCCCGACTTTAAAACTGACCCAAGGAGCAGTGAAGGACAATGGATAGATTATTACACTCATATCTCTTCAGTCAAATTATACTGAATGAAGCTATTAAAAAGTTTCTGTGGTATCACTGTCTCTACTCTCATCAGGAAATTGTTCCGTCCCACCTGGCCACCTCACCCATCATGTCCGACGGCGCTTCTCTCATGAGCTCCTCCCTGATGGGAAAGAGCTCTGGGCCCCCTGTGCAGACACTGGGTGCCACGGGAGTTAACGGAGAAACTACCAATGGTATCGTAAAGAAGAGGAGGAAGAGGAGAAGGAAGGTCTGGGCCGACAGCTTGAGAAGAGAGGAGAACGGGGACTACTCAGAAGACGAGGACATGTTCACAATAGATATCAGCTCAGACGAAGACACAGAGATGGAGAGCAATAGGTGAGGAAGAGCAGAGGAAGATTAAAGATAAAAAGAGTTGCGGGATGAGAGGATTGATTCAGAACACTGAAAATGTTGTGAAAGCGTGAGACAGCATTTGAAACTGTAAAGAGGAACAGCGTTACACGTGAAGGAAGTAAAGGAAGGAAAGTGCTGTTAGATAAACAGTGCAATACATCATTAAAACAGGCCTCGACAGCAGCTTTAGTGAAGTTCTAGTCTGTTCAGCAGAAATAAGAGGAACAGCCTCTGTCTCTGGGAGGCCTGGCACTGACAAAAACAACTCTATGAATCACACCACTTCAACACTGCATCGTTCTTCAGTCTGTTTTTGTGAATTGGTGCTTGCTGTTGTCCTTGTGCATGCATGTGTATATATGGTTGCCACAGTGTAACTTATCCACTGGTGTCCAGTAGGGGAATGGATCAGAAACAGCTTAGAATGTGCAGAATGTGGGTCAGGCTCTCAGCAATGGCTGTCACTCACTGTTTTTGTCAGGGTTGACAATTATTAACCATGACTGAAAACAGCAGCGGTTGTAAACATGAGCCTAATGAGCGGTTTATTTTCACCTCTATGCACGAGCCTTGAGAATGCTTTACATCAAATCTGTTTTTAGATTGGAGGCTGTAAACAGTAAATACAGCTAGAAGTGAGCCAAGTGACACGATTGAGAAGCTTAGCTTACAGTCTGGTAGTATGGTGTTAGCAGGGGTAGGTTTAGGTTAGCCTTGCTGAAGACTAATTTGAGCATAATTAATCACAAAAGAAATCTTTGACTTTTGTTGGGTTTTTAATCTATTTTGAGAAGGATGTTTAGAATTGTTCTCTAATGGCATTCTTTATGAGAATTCATGTTCTTTTGTGGTTCCATTTTAGATCTTTATCTCGAGATGTCTCTAGAGAAGAGACCACAGTGGGGTCAGCAAATGGTTCCTTCAACCAGACTGGTGTCTACACCCGTTCAGATGGCGAGTGGAGTCCCCTCCAAAGGTGACAGAGTCCCACACCAAACAACTAAACAAACACATGCCTGCAGTCTACAAACAAAACAAGCTTTATTATTAGTATTGACACTATAATGACTGTTTGCAATCTCTTCCCATCTCAGTCCTGGAAACTCTCGTCCCACATCTCCAAAGAGTGACTCTGAACTAATGACCAAGTCATCAAACACTGACAACCAGGATCCAGCCATGCACTGGGCCTGGGGAGAGCTGCCACAAGCCGCTACGGTAAACTCAGCATCCACTGTGCACCGATGCAAACACAAAAATGACGATGATTGTTTTCATCCTATGTTTACATCTTATGTCTCTCCAGCCGTCCTTTCTCCCTATGAAATCTGACTCTCCGCCTGTTTGTCCCGTATCCATTCCTGTCTCTGAGAACACACATTTCCGCGTAATAACACACGAGACATCTTCAGAACAGTGTGTCCACTCCTCAGAAATGTCAGCTTCCACACTGCTGAGGTCAGAGGACACCGTAGTTACACAACAGACAATCGTCACACTTGGAATGGAGACAGAATCCACAAGTATGGAGTCACTGGCAGTAACTTCAGAGACGCAGGTTACAACAGTGGAGAGTGCAGCTGCTCGTACGGTGGCTGACATGGAGGAGACAATGCTGCGTCTATGTGGCAAGACCGACTCTCCGACCAAGAAGAAAGGTGACAAAGCATGGGAACTATATAAGCTATCTATGATTAATCACAACAACTGAATCACAAGTCAGTGGAAGTTGACTTAAATAATCAAATTGTCATGAAATATAGTGGGTTTTTTTTACCTAAAACTTGTGTTACAAAGAGTATTAATTTAGTGTTTTTGAAAGTTCAATATCTTTCAATTTTTCTCTTCTGGGCTGCAGAGAAAAGGAGCCGCCATCTGGGTTCTGATGGTATTTACCTGGATGATATAACAGAGCTGGAGCCTGATGTGGCAGCTCTTTACTTCCCTAAGAGGTAAACGAGCAGACACATCTATACACACAGTTTACACCGCTACATAACAGAGTTTGGGCACAATATTTAAATTAATGTCACTACAGTCACTGTTTGCTGATTCTTTCAAACGCCTCTTATCTGTAGTGATGGAGGAGCAGCCGTGAGGAGCATGTCAGACCCGGGTCTCCACAGCACAAGTTTGTCCCCACAGTCAGTCAGCTCGGGGGGAGACAGTGGAGTGGACACCTTCTGTGATCACATGTCTGAACTGCCGTCCATCGCCATCTCTCTGTGTGGTGGACTTACTGAAAACAGAGAAATCACAAAAGGTAACGTCAAACACTGATATTTCTCACTCTGTGATGCTGTGTTTTTAGCTGCGGTGCAGGAAAGAAAACATAACAATCTGTCCTCGGGTTTGTTTACAGAGCAGTTCCATGAAAAGATTGTTTCCTACCAGCAGTTTTCAGAGAATCCCTCCATCATCGACGATCCCAACTTGGTTGTAAAAATCGGTTCCAAGTAAGTCGTGACCACTGGACTTGACTTAAATGTTTCTGTTTGACTTTTTCTTTTCAAGGAATCACTATAAATATTCTTGATTCTGTCCCTCAGGTACTATAACTGGAGTACTGCAGCTCCACTTATGCTGGCTATGCAGGCTTTTCAGAAACCTCTGCCAAAGGTAAGAGATCTGTAGAACAGATTGGAAGACAGTACACACACTTAAGGCCAAAGGTTGGTTGTAAGACTGGCGTAGCACTCCTCCCTTTGGCTAAAGGTGGTACTGCTCCTAAATGTAGACAACATTAGAAGTGCATACAAAAACTGTAACATCTATTCTACTTACATTCAACTCCTCTCTGTTCCCCTTCCCTATTGTTTGCACCTTCTTTTTTATTCCATTACTGCCATCACTTCAACACTCCATAAGTCCTCTTGGCTGACGTTCTTTTCAGTCAGAGTTCCTTTTTTGTTGTCTTTCTGACATGTTGGGCTGCAGCTCAGTATGTCAGACCCAGTACTCAACAGTTTTATTTCTTTCTCATCTGCTTTCTCTTCTTTTGTCTTAGATCACACTCCATCTTTCACAAAGACCACACACACTTGACAATGAAATACATGCACTCACACACACTTTTGTCTATTTAATGCACTTCAGCTACTTGTTTCCTAAGTTATTGTTTGTTGACTTGTCGTTTGGTTTCGTTTTAAGTGACTTTTTGTGTTTTTGTGATGTCCTGTTTGGTCTGTGTGTGTTCCTTTGTGTGCTCCCATTCAAGACTACAGTGGAAAACATCATGAAGGAGAAGATGCCCAAGAAAGGCGGGAGGTGGTGGTTCTCCTGGAGAGGCAGGAACAGCAACACCAAATCGGTATTTTCCTCAATTCCAAGTAAAAATTGAAAGTGATTTTTAATCATTTGTGTCCAAAGCTGTGACTGACAGAAAAAAAACCAAATATGCACACTTCCCATCAGAGATGAATGTGCAAAGTAACTGTTTCTTTTTTCTTTTGTAGGATTCTATGTCTGACTGTGGGGCCTGTGGTTCTGATGGTCAGGATGCAACGAGCAGGTACAGAGCCAAACTTACATTCCTGGTTAGGACTGTCACAGCCAAGTAATGTGAAACATGGCTGTGTTTCTCCAGTCCATTAACATCCACCTCTCACTCTGAACAACAGATATAAGGAGGAGTCTTCCTCAAGTGATGAAGACAACAGAGCAGACACCCAGCATTCCTCCACCATCCAATCAGAGGGCGCGCTTGCATCAGGAGGCGTGTCCTACAAGAAAACACTACGTCTTACATCAGAGCAGCTGGTGGGATTGGTTGAAAACTTTATCCATTATTAATATTTTTTGTCATATGTTTCATTCTCTGTCTTATCTGTCTCTTTTTTGTCTCACTCACACGCAGATGTCTCTGCAGCTGCAGGACGGTCCTAATGAGGTTGTGTTCAGTGTAACCACTCAGTACCAGGGAACGTGCCGCTGTCAGGGAACCATCTACCTGTGGAACTGGGATGACAAGATCATTATCTCTGACATAGATGGAACCATCACCAGGTGAACCATCCATGCACTAAAAAATATCTATTCTAAAAACCAAGTTCAACTGAGTTTAGGTCTGTTTGAATTGGCTTCATCACTTCTCTGCAAACAGTGAACTGCTGAATTGATGTTCAATGAGAAGTAATCTGACCTGAAGTCAGTTCTGTAGATGCATTTGTCAGTTTTATCAACTTTTTAACTAACTTTTTCATCCTTGTCCAAACAATGCATTGGTGTAGTAGCGGCATTCAACTTTTTACGTGTAGACGATGCCCTCTTGTGGCCATAGATTATACATGTTTGATGTAGACTTCTATTCAAAATCCAAATAGTACTAGAAAAGTAAAAATTGTAACACATTTATTTCGTTGTTTTTTTTTAACTTGATGATCGAAATGACCTTGTGTTTTGTCTCTAGGTCAGACACGTTGGGACACATTCTGCCCACTTTAGGTAAAGATTGGACCCATCAGGGTATTGCACGCCTGTACCACAAAGTCAGCCAGTAAGTGCGTCATCATACATGTTACAGAGTCTGTTCTTTACAGCTTTGGATGAAAACATCCAGAACTGAAAGTTTAGCACATATCTGACGTTTATTGTTATTCACTCTGTTGCACACAGAAATGGATACAAGTTCATGTACTGCTCAGCCCGGGCCATAGGCATGGCTGACATGACCAGGGGATACCTGCACTGGGTTAATGAGCGAGGCACCATGTTACCTATGGGCCCAGTTCTTCTGAGTCCCAGCAGCCTTTTCTCAGCTCTGCACAGGTAAACACACACATACACACAGGGTTGGGTTTTCATGCTTGGTGAAGACTTCATGTGGACAAGATTCATTCCCTAATCCCTTACCCTAACATTCACCATTATAACCAGTTGTCTTATCTTAATCCTTACCCAGGGTAATCCTAATTCCAAAGTAATTCTATAAACTCAGACTATCCTTATTCCTAGTGGAGACCAGAAAAAAGTCTGCGAAGACAAAGAGTCATTCACAAGTAAAACTCTTGTCCCCTAATCTTAGACCTTATCTAACTGTAATCAGACCCTGAATCCCAGATTCCAAGGTCTTGAACCTCAAAATGCCCTCTCAGTCTGTGCAGACCTACAAGATGTCCATGCAAGGACAAAGTGTCCCCACAACTAGAGTATTTCCTTACAAAAAAACAAATTGGTATTTTCTTCTTGTATCCATAGAATATGAAGTGACAGTTACAAGTTGTTTATGTTCACATCTGGGCTTGTGTGTGTGTGTGTGGTCACAGGGAGGTAATTGAGAAGAAACCAGAAAAGTTTAAGGTGGAGTGTCTGACTGATATCAAGAACCTCTTCCACCCCAACACAGAGCCTTTCTATGCAGCATTTGGAAACAGATCAACGGTAGGTACACACACACAAATCTTGAAATCATAAATATAAAAAAGAGAACATTCGATCACCAAGAAATATATAATGATCTTAAAATTGAGAGTAAGAGGTCCCCTTTTATTTTATAAAACAAAGACAACTAAAGCTAGCAGAGCCCTCCAGGCTTCTCAACAACTTCACTTGGCAACAATAATCTGCAACCAACATACAGCAGCACTGTCTATTTTATATATATATATATATATATATATATATTTGTGCAGCGCATGTTTCTAACGTTACATGTTTTATTGTCTTATTTTTGCAGGACGTTTACTCCTATAAAGAAGTAGGAGTGCCACTCAACAGGATTTTTACCGTTAACCCCAAGGGCGAGCTGGTGCAGGAGCATGCCAAGACCAACATCTCATCGTACGTAGCAGATCTGGGGGGGGGGGATATAATATATAAAAATAAATAAACCTTTAGTCATCTAAAGTGTGTGGTTTCACCCTGCTCTCCTCCTTTCAGCTATGCACGTCTGTGCGAGATCGTAGATCACGTGTTTCCTCTGAAGATGCGAGCCTCCTGCTCAGACTTCCCTTGCTCTGACACTTACAGCCACTTCACCTACTGGAGGGATCAGCTTCCCCGGGTGGATCACCAGGAAACTACACGCCCACACAGCCAAGGCTCCAGGAACTGACGACCTGTAGGCCAGCTGTGTTTTTAAAGCAGTATTTGGAAGTGATAAAGGTGGAAGAAAATGTTTTTTATAGGATGGATGGAGCACTTATGTAGCACACAGTCTTTTGATGCAAATAGTCTTATAATGCACAATATGAATGTAGGTGCACTTTTGATCAGAAGAATGTATCGTTTGTATATAATCACAATTTTATATATTTATATATGTGTATATATATATTTATATACATGTATTTGTATATATATATACATACATATATTTATCATATATATTTATATACATATATTAACAATATATGATTATTTAGTCAGCTTAGGACTTTTCTAATTGTTGACATCATTATTATAGCTATTCCTTCAGTCTATGCAACAGCATCTGGAGTTAAGCTTTCATAAAGAACACAATATGGTACTGAACCGATTTGTCAGACACAGTTACTGACCCAATGCCAAATGTCGCATTTATTTTCTTACTCCGAACCTACTGAACTTACCAAGAGAATGCAGGCTAGTTTCACTATATGCAAACACATACATTTGACAAGTCAGTGAAGTCAATATTGATTGAGTGATTGATTGATTGATTCAAGGACAATAAGTTCCATGGCACAGAATGAAAGACAGCCTGTGTGCATTTGGTAGATTATATTGTACTTGTTGCTGAGATGAAAAGTTGTGAACATAATGTTTGTGTTTTCTTGTTGACTCAATTTTATTCTACTGGCGGCCTTTTATCTGTAAATTTATTTATCCAAAAACACTGATTAATTTGCCTTTAATTTTACAAAAGAGCATGATGAGTGACTGTATTGGTTTCTTTCTCTGTGCTGTTGTTGCCATTCCTTTATGATTATGACTGAAACCTGAACCCAATCCTGACAATCCTTATTCAGTGTTCATAAAAATACAACTTCTGTATGTTGCTGATATTGACTTGTAATAATGCCATGAAGAGTGTGAGGTCATTCATGTGAGCCGCGGCCATTGCAGCCAGTTGTGAATAAAACCACCAGAGTGCTATTGGTGGACACGGTAACAGCTGCTAGTAAAAAGAGGACGTACTGTATATTATACCTTAATGCTGATGATATTCTTTCTATGAAAGAGAAAAACTTCACTTAAAGGATTCATTTTTTTTGTCTTAATGTTTGAACATATGCTCATTTGCTTCCCTGAGAATTTACTATTGAAGTTCACTGTTAAATTATTCAGAATCAATAATAAAAAAAACAACAACAACAGAAATGTGTGTTTACTTTTTGACTCTTTGTCTCTAAAACATGGAGTTATATTCACAGCATTACATTAAAAAACAAGTAAAAATACTTTGGTTTCATTAAGGATTATTATCAACATCAATTACATTAATAAATGCAATTATTTAAAATTTGGGGTTTTATTAAACAATATAAAAAGAACTTTGCTGTTGTTGCACATGGTTATCATAAAACGCATACTGTTTCATTACTGCTATAGTATGATTTTACACCCGGCACCTGTTCTCAGCTGCAGTTAGCTACACAAACATTATCATGCACAACAGCAACGTTGGGGTTACTGCAGGACAAAGTGGCAACATGAGGAGGAGGAGTTACCAGAACCCTATCAAGCCATTGGCCTAAGACTGAGTCTGACTGAGAGATTCTTTCTCCTCACTCACTCACTCACACAGTGTAGAATGACAAAAGCAACCTGGAGCTGAGAGAAGGAAAAGGAAGTCTGGTTGTGTGAAGAATGACTCACAGGGTAAGAGACACGTCAACTCCTCTGGACACACGCTGGTTTTTATCCTCAACACTTGCTGCAATCGTTGATCTACTTTATTTATCGTACAAATATTTCATACAACAAATACTTCACTTCACTTTTCTATAACAGAGCACTCAGAATGCTCTCTGTTTCTAAGCTTTACTAGTTCATGTCCAAAGCCTAAGCAAGGCTGTTGCGACAAACGAAGTCTGGCAACTTCCTGGAGCATCAAGCTAAGGGGCGGGGACTGTGGGTCTGGACATGAGTTAATGCTTTAAGCTGCTTTCTGATTCAAAATTTTTCAGGGAGTTTGATACATGACATTGAGAATATTGTTAAAGTCATCTCAGCACTTCTATTAACCTTCCAGTAAAATTTTTAATTTTAGTAAAAATCCCAGCAGCTTTGAAAGCCTCAAAGACAAATTCCTAATGTGATAAAGATCATTTTAAATAGTTGTTTTTTTACTCACGTTAAAGTCAGTGTTACCAGTTTGGGTTGCATCAGGAAAGGCATCCACTATCAAACACTCTGATGACCTCTACCACTGTGGTGACCACTGATAAAAAAGGAGCAAAGCAGAAGTGATTCTTCTAGATTACCATTAAACACTACTGTCTCTTGTTGTTTCTATAAAAATGTTGCCTAATATCTGGCAACTAACAGCATCTGGGCAGAGTGCAATGAGGAGAGGTTACTGATAATACTTCAGTATCTTGTTTGTATACACAAAATAAAAGGTCACAGTGACAGTTGAACGGTACAATTACATGAGTTTACAAGTGATCTGATTAAACTGTCTTATGGATGTGAACACACACACGCAAACATACATTTCCATGTGTTTCATGTTTAATTTTAAACATGCGTTCAATATAATAAAACAATTTCAATTTCTAATCTGACCAAAAATATCTCGACCACCCTCTATGACCTCCTGACCCATGTTAAAGACCTCAGGCTTACACAAGTTACAACCTTCATCATCATGATTTCCTCATCTAGTTCAGCAGCTCAGGCAGGCCAGACTGGAATCATGATGAAGAGTTTGTGGACATACTGGAGGACAGACGGCACAGCAGTGACCTGGGCCATGCCCTCCGAACCTTTAATCCGCAGCCTTACCAAGGAGGCCAACCCTGCTCTGCAGCAGAACTCACCAAAACTGTCCTGGAGTCCCAGCATCTGTGCTATGTGGCCAGAGAGGTAGGATTTTAAATCAATCATTCAATTTGACAAAACTCACATTTATCCAAAACGGATTCCGTGGTCTCCATGAATCCTGCTTTAGATTGCTCTGGAGACCGGGTCATCGATAGAGGAAGTTACAGAGGAGGCTCGTCGCACTTTGGACGAAATGTCTCAAAACCTTCAGTTGGGTTTCATCAGGTTGATGAGCTTCACCCTCACCAAGGTGTTCAAGAAGCTGTTCAGCAGCATCTTTGTCAACATGGACACTCTCAGCACGGTCAGGATCTAAAAATTAAATTAACAAAGTTTTTTATATCACATTTTTATTTAAGAATATCTTAAAATACCCTTAGGTCAAAGGTCAGACACTGCTTAACAGTTTGCATCCAAAATGTTCTTCATTCATTACATCCATAAATACATAACATCCATTGTTACTATGATTTTACTTATTAATGTTTTTGCATCACCTTAAGAACTGTCTTTTAATATTTTTAAAAATAAGTCCCCAACATTTTTGTTCTGATGACAGGTTTGTCAGTATCAGTCGATTCAGTGATGTTCATTTTTTCAGTCTTTATTTTGTTAGTGTAAAAGATGTATTATTTTGTAAACCTGCCTTATATCTATATCTATATCTATATCTATATATATATATATATTTTTTTTTTTTTTTACTTTGAAATCAAGAGTCCTGCCTTTTCTGTCCTCACAGCTCCAACAAAGTATTCAGCAGACTCCTGTGATCCTGATGCCCAATCACAGGAGCTACGTGGATTTTCTGGTCATCTCCTACATCATGTTTTCTTATGACCTGCCAATACCGGTTATCGCTGCAGGAATTCGCAAGTATCTGTTTGGTTTTACACAACTCCGTTGATAAGGTGTTGTGAGTATTATCCGAGCCTGTAAAAACACAACACTTTGTTTAACCCCTATCCCTTGTATCTGTGTACTGTGAAGCTCTTGCAGGGATGAAGATGGTTGGAGAAATACTGCGACGCTCTGGAGCGTTCTTCATCCGACGTGCCATTGGTTCTGACAAACTCTACTGGGCAGTTCTGTCAGAATATGTGAAAACGATTGTCAGGGTGAGATTCCACCAAAATACAATGGGCTCCAGTTTAAAGTCCAGTCGTCAGGATTTCACAGAGTGGGTTTGATCCTCAAGTCCCGCCTCTTCTACTTTACTGCAACTGTCTTTTGTCTTGTCTCTCTAGAAAGGACATGCTCCTTTGGAGTTTTATGTGGAGGGTTTAAGAAGTCGCACATTGAAGTCTATAACACCAAAGTTAGGTGAGTAAAGATGCAGATTAAACTCATTAAAGTTAAAGTCACTCTAACTTTCATGACTTTCGACCTTGGTGAGCAGGTATGATGCACATGGTGCTGGAGCCCTACCTTAAAGGTCAGGTGTTTGACATCACATTGGTTCCTGTCAGCATCAGCTACGACAGAGTTCTGGAGGAGTCCTTGCTTTCCCATGAGTTACTGGGTGTCCCCAAGCCCAAAGAGAGCACCACAGTACGTAGCCGCTGCAGGTTCACCGCCAGTGTTAGCAAACGTGATAGTGATTGCACCGAAAATATGGGGAGTTTTTACAAATGTTACATCAACTCACACCTCAAACAGTCAGCGTGTGTGTTGGACTCTGTCTCCTCTGTCACTGCAGGGTCTGCTCAAGGCAAGTTCAGTCCTTCAGGATAGTTATGGTGCCATGCACGTGAACTTTGGTCATCCTCTCTCAGTCAGAGAGCTTCTTAAGGGGAAGATAAACCGCTGCCAGTACAACTTCGTACCCAGGTCAAAAGGTTCCCTGTCCAATTACATAAAGTATAAATTGAAAATGATTTAAAGTTAGGGTGTTATCTTTTCTAGAAATGCTGATGTCATTAGTGTGGTCAGTAACCTATATATTAATATACTGTAGGTTACTGACTACTACATTGTTTTTTATTTTTCAAGTAAATTTAATAAGAGTTTGGTTTTTTTTCCTATCCCTGTTCTCCTTCCTTTGCTCCTGGTCCCTACCCTTTGTTCGTCTTCACAGAGATCTCCCGCAGAAGCCCAGTGCAGAGGTCCAGGCCTGCGTGAGTTGGCTGGCACATGTTGTGGTTGGAACCCAGGAGCAGGGCTCTGTAATCAGCCCCTGGTCTCTGATGACCTGCCTGTTGCTCCAGGCTCCCATCACTGTCCTTACAGTTGAGGGGTTTCCATGGCACCAGCTCACAGAGAAGACCCTCTGGCTGAAGAGGCTGGTGCTGAACTATGGGGTTCGTTTGAACTGGTCAGGTGGGTTGGACTGAAAATGAGAGATACTTGACAACAAATATGTAACATGACCACTAGACGTCGCCAAATCTGTACATAGCGGTGCTACCTGGAGGCTTGGCCTGTTGAAGTGGTTTACCAGAGTGATGGTTATTGTCTGCAGGACAAACCTCTGATTCAGATGTTATGTCATCGTCCCTGACCCTGCACCGCTCTGTGGTTCAGAGGAAAGCCGACCGCGTCTACCTGGTCAGGGAAAAAAATGAACCTAGAAGGCGTCCAGTCAGTGAAGAGGCTTCTGTGACAGCGACAGCAAAGTCAGTGCTGATGCTGGCCGCCTACCGTAATCAGTCGATGCACGTGTTCGTGAGGCCAGCCCTGCTGGCCGTGGCCTTGAACATCACTAGAAGCACACAGAAAAGTAAAAATTAAAGAGAATCATTGGATTTATGCTTCTGTTTACCTCATGATAACCTACTGCTCTCTTCACAGATGAGCTGTTTGCGTTCTTTTGCTTCTTACAGAGTCTCTTCTCCTATGAGTTTATTTTCATTCCTGGAATGCAATTCGAGGTAACAATCTCCATGCAGCCCTCAGCTCTTACAGTTCATGCCCAGTTTAACTGTAGTATTTAGTTATTTATGTACTAATGTACTGTATGTATTTACAGGATGACAGCTTCTTGATTTTTCCTCACTTTTTCTCTAACAGGACTTTGAGGACGCCTGTCTGCTCCTGAAGAAATGTGGCGCAATCCGTATCAACTCAGATGAAGTGATAGTGTCAGACAGTGGACAGGAGATACTGTCCTTCCATCAGTCTCTAATACAACCCTTCATAGATTCCTATCAGGTGCTGTTGACATGAAAACTCTGTCATAGAAAAGAATCTTTTGAGCTCCAAAGAAAGAAACTGATCAAAGACTGATTAAGTGCCTTTCTGATTGTCTTTTTGAATGTCTTTTTGAAGAGTGTTCTCCAAGTTGATTTTGTCTTTGGGTTTCATCCAGGTGACGTTCAGTTCCCTCTCCGAACAAGAACCTGATGTGTTCACAGACAAACAGTTCCTACCTGCCGTGAGGAACCTGGCGACCAGACTGCTCCTCTCAGGTGAGAGTCCTAGCCTGATGATAACCTCTGACTCCACCCATTATTAGCTCACATGTAACACCTAGCCCTTGTTTATGGCCTTTGCAGGTGAAGTTCACACCTATGAAGCTCTTTCCTCCGATACACAGAAAAACTCTCTGTCTGCCCTTCAGAGGCTGGAGGCTGTCAGGAAGCTGAGAGCGTGAGTGATGTGATGAGTTCCTGATGTTTTGATGAATTTGTTTCATATTCATCAACGCCTCGTCTCCTTTCACAGGTCTGAGAACAGCGAATACAAAGTGGACAAAGCTGCTGTTAAACATCTGGCAGACAGACTTTGTAAGTCCCATCAGTAAACTAGATTACAAAATACACTACTATGGTTGTTTACATTTGACATTTTCTACCGTTTGTTGTGACAGTTTGCTTATGAATTTCTAACCTGTGCTTACGTTGTAGCTGGGAGAGTTCCTGCACAGGCCCTTCACACTCCACCTAATTCAAGGCTATAGTCACTGATGGACCTACTTTATCCTTTATTACTGTCCCACAGTCCTAGAAATCCTTTCTCCTCTTCCTATTGGCACAGCCGCAGCTGCTGCACCGCGTTTACTGGGGATGAGAAGCAGACGAGGGCAGGTTCAGTAAACAATTCTGTAAGCATGCAATCAAACAATCAAAGAAACTAAAGTCCCTCCCTCAGCCTTTTCCTGTACACCGTGGCACTGTGTGTAATTAGGCACCTACACTAGTCATCTTGTTAAGTTAATTAATTTTAAATTTCAGGATTAAAGCCAATATTATGACTTTTTCCTAAGGATTAAAATCTTTTCTCAAATGTCTGCCATTACATCAAAATAAGCCCTGAAATAATATTAATCAAAGACATCTGACTGTGATCTGAAATTCTGACATTTCAGGTCGACTTTATATCAAAGCTGTTTTTTTAAATATTTTGAAATCATTTTTAATGTATAATTTGTGATTACAGTTAAAACTGTCCATTTCACTCCAAAAGGTAAAAGTGAAAAAACTTTCTTTTTTTACAATTTCTACTAAAATTGTTTATTATAGTATGTCTCATCGTGTGCACTCACCATCTATGAAGCAGAAGATCAATAGCAGGAGTAGCAATAACACACTGCTTCCATGACGTGTCCACCAGTCAAGTCCATGTCTTATCTATCTTAGTCCAGATCAGGTCAGTAACATCAAACAGTGAAAGAACCATTGACCATTTTTCTGCAACAGCCACAAACACATATGACTTTGGAAACCACTGCCAGAGGGAAACATTGTGACAAAGCAACCATATAAATATGGATGTTATCTCTTCTAATAAATTATGTTTCAGGACAGGTACCTTGACATGTCTTTAGTATAGATCATGCTGGACAAAGACACAGCAATAGAGGACATTTGCCACAGGCAGTCACTGAAGGGTTAACTAATCCCATGGTGGGGTCATTGAGGTGAGAACCTGAGCACGATCAGGTCAGAACACCTCTGTGTCTGTGGTTATCCACAGATGTCAGGACCCTGGCATTTTTGTCACACAATTCACACAAGTTCAACTTCATGCCAACCGCTGCGTGCTGCAGTTACATTTTCTTTTTAAGAAAGTCATTTAAAACCAAAGTGGTTAGCTAACACAGATCAAGGCTCTCTAACACCTCCCACTGCTGATGGAATGAAAACATAAACATTAGAAAATATTTGTGTTTTTTTATCAGTGATTCAAACTTCTAAACTATTTCTTAAATAACGGTTATTCAATTACAAATCCAACTGGACCGGACATTTGCAGTACCTAATGTTTTGGACAAAAGCACCTAATGTTTTTTAAGCCTGGAGTTTGTGGCAAAAACCTTAGACCAAATTTGTTTAACACACAGCTCTCTTATATTTTATTTGGTGAAGTTTATAGAAGTCATGGAAAGAAAAGAAAAAAGTCCAATTGGTTTTATTTACGCCTCTTCAGTGTTTCGTGGCTGCTTCAGTTACACTATAATGTCTTCTGGTGTGACATCGTACAGTAGTGTGTAATTCGGAAATACATAAAATAACAGTAAGCCTGTTGAACGGACATGTGGGCTTTTAGACCAATGTTTTTAAAAAAGGGACATTGTATCAAACAGTTTAAAATTTAAAAAGTATGCTGCAAAAAATATTGCATTTGTAGAGTAAGTAAACATTCAAGTTTTGGCAATTCAAATCTTTTTTTTTTTTGCAAGTGTGTGGTGTGAATTTCCCCTTTTCTATGTTTAAAATACTACCTCTAGGCCTATTGCATCAGTTTATTTGCCTGCATATTTGAGGCAGGCTCATTTGAGGTAACTCATTATGGTGTTATGTAAGACACGAGGAAGCGAGTCATCGAAATGTCACCAACAGGCACTCAAAGAATTTAAAAACTAAAAACTGTCGGCTTCATCTGCTGGGCTCGTAAAGCTGTAGGTCGAGTCTGACCCAAACTTCTCCAGTCGGAACCTCATGGAGGAGGAGGCGTCGGTTCGCTGCACCTTTGCTTTCCATCTCCTTTTTGATTGTTGCCACGGGAACTTCAGTCCGACCCAAGAAATCTGTAGTAGTCAGAGATCAACACTGAGCGCTCATTTTCACATTTTCTTTAACTCCATTTTATAACTGTTACTTGTTCCTTAAAGAAAAGAACAATTTTCAGTGTATTTCGACCTGTGGCTCAGTTAACTTGATATCATCATCTTGTCCCAGAAACTGGTCTCTAGCACCTAGATCTGGGTCAGGCTTTGAGTCATCAAGTAACACAGAATTAAAATTATGTGTTCCAGCATTCGTCCACCGTAGAAGAGATTCTTACGTTTTATTTACCTCGCAGTACTACATGTACTGCATTAATTTGATTCTGTTTTGTACAGCCTTACTCACCGTCTGGTGAGAACTGGTCTTTCTCAAACACAGTGATGCACAGGACATCCTGGTACAGGTCCTTGATAAAGAACTGACAGTTGAAGTTCCACTTAGGGTTCAGAGTGTCGTTGACGGGTCGGGAGGTGTAGCACTGAGCCCCCATGGTCAGCTCGCAGTATGGATTACTCTTTCCTGTAAGAAGAGGAAAAATGAGAGGGTTTAAAAAAAACTACAACAAAACTTTTTAATAAATACGTACAAATACACTCATAAACAACACTACCATTGGGTTTACAGGCCTTGAGTTCCTGAGCTTCAGTGACTGTCACCAGCAGTCGACCGATACCACTGGTTTTTAGGGACCGTGCTAAAAAAAAAGTTAGGTTAAAAAAAGAGATTCATTTGCGAACAATGTGATTAAAAGAACAAAATGGACAGGAATGATCATGTTATTAGTAATATACATTTGAGATTGGATTATTAAAAGCCTGGTGGTGAAATGTTGACGTTAAAATAGAAACACCTTTCTGTGCTGCTTCAAAGTGTTACCTTGATACGCCTTCTCTCTCTTTTTCTTCTCTGTTTCTATGAAATGTTCTGACGCCGCTTTGATTTTCTGAACCCACGCGGCCCTAAAAAAACCCAGCGATAATTACTGTTTTTTGTTAAATCATTTTTGCTTCAATTGTTGAAGACATCTGAATGTATCTGACGGTGGGAACCTCTCATTTAGGGTCTCTGTTCTGAGGGTGTAGACACGATCAATGTGTGAGACGTGGAAGAGTGGCTCATCACTGGACGGGTCTGGAGGCATTTTCACCAAAACCTCATTCAGAAACAGTGGCTGCAAGAAAGGAAAAAAAGCAGTCATACAGGACAATGGCAAACATGCAGAGTTTATTTCTAAAACCTTCTTCTCACCGTTTTGTACATCTTCAGCTGTATGTTCGTCTTGGGACTGAAGAGTTTATCTGGTCCTGAGGATGAGAAGGGTTTGGCACTGTGTGTGAGGAGAAAGAAATCGTTGAAGAGGAAAACCCACAGCTCCCTGCTGCTCTTGGTTTTGTACAATCGACCACTGTGGAGCAGCTTGCGAGGCCCGAGGCAGTTCGTCAAGGAGTTAAAGACCAAGTGCTGGAAGAGAGACAAAGTGGAGATGTCCTTCTGTGTCTCACTTTGACTTATTCATGTGTAATTCAGTTCAACACACACACACAGGAAACGGTTTTGTGTGTTCACCTCTATCGCCCCCTCACACTGCACGTGGCTTTGTATCCACTCCAGCCTGTCTGAGTTCTCCTTCTCCCTGACTCCTTCATTGACCTGAGAGCACAGCTCCTCAGCTCGCTCTAGCGCCTCCAGCAGGGGCCCGCGGTCGGCATGGCCTTCTGTCGTGTGTTCCAGAATCTGACAAAGGCGGATAATGGATAATTTAATTTTCTGAGAAGGACAGTAATAGGCGATTTTGAAAGAGAATGTTTAGCCTACGTTCTTGATAATCAGGGGATAGCGTGTGATTCTCTGCATAGGTTTGAGGAGGAAGCTGGACAGTGGCATTCCTTTACAGCGGTAGTTAGTGGCGATCTTCTGCTCCACAGACGACAGACATTTACAGAATTTACGTTTAAATTCATCAACGGTCAGGTTTTTTTCTTTATATTCAGACTCTCCTACCTTAAGAAAGTCTTTAAATTCTGGCTGGTTGAGCATTTTGCTTTGCAGCAAGGCAGCAGCGTTGAGCTGGCAGGAGCAGAAGCGGATGTAGGGCTGCATGTGCGCCAACTCTGACGCCAGCAGATCTCCTATGAGCTGAACCGGCATGTTCTCTCCTCCGGTCTTTTTTCTGACGCGCAGAGCCCTGAGAGAAAGAGACGACGATGCTGTGAAACACTGGAACAGACGTCAAAATGAACAGCTGATGTCCACGGAAACCAGTGGACTCTTGGGAAAAAAGACCAAATCTTGCAGTTCTCATATTTCACGTGATATTGTCTTGAGGTGGTTTGGAGCAGGTTAAAGGAACAGAAGTAGATTTTATCAATAATTTGTTTTATTTGGATATATGTGTCATACATACTTAAGAAGTTTGGTGTTACACATTATCAGCTCCCTCCAGTTCACAAAGATGACAGCCATCTCTGCTTCCGTCAGTCGGCCCGACTCAGACATGGGCTTGTAGAAAACCTGAGAAGGTCAAAGAGAAACAAGTGCTGAGTGAAAACAAACTGGATTCTTTTATTAATTTAGGACATGACTGACAGCGGGACATTTTTGGGTAGTAACTAAGGCACAATTTTTTCAGATTACATCGAACAGCTGCGTATGTCAGTCTGTACCTCCAGTACCAGCTCCAGGTCCTCCAGGTAAGTCTCCTCAGTCTCGATGAGCTCATGGATGTAACCCTGTCTCTTTCTCTCTAGGGGAGTCATTGTGTCCAACGTCATTAGGTCTGCACACCCTGTAGCATGCACAGGCACACACACACGCACACGTTCATGGAAACAAACACATGCAGACATGCAGTCACGCATGCAAAAAGCACACCAGCAGCACGTGGTTAAGTAAACACACTGTAAGTCACTGGGCACAAAATAAATACCGCACGCATGGGCATCTCAAAATCTTTTTTTAAATGTTGTTATTTATTTACATTTACTGCACAGATGAGAGAGATAGAGAGAGATAGAGAGAGAGAGGCACATTGTAGTTGCTATACATGAAGTGCAAGGACAAACCAGGCAATGTTAGCGCTAACAAGACTGCAGCGGCGGATCATCTGCATCAAAGAAATAACGAAGCACCTTCTGAGGTGGAACGTTCACTCCCAATGGTTGCATAGGTGTAAATGAGAAATGCTGGAGTTGGAGGAGCAGTGGAAGACTGAAGTAGTGGTTCAAGTCTTTCAGGTTTACACTCGGTGTCCGGAGTATAATCACTTTCATTTCTTCTTAATGAATCACGTGTTACTCTGCTGGTGATTAGAGTTCTATACAGAATGAGGCTTGCTATTAAAAAGTCATCACAGGAAATGTTGCTACACTCGCTAAAGGGAAATCAAAACCTAAGTCTTTCATTTGGTAATTCACAAAACAAAAGGATCTTCACTGCTAAAATGATCAAATTAAAACCCGCAGCATCCTCCAAAACCTTAATCTCTGCAAACTGGTGGAGGCCCATTAGTTTCTGCAAAACTTTGCAAGACAATTGTTTGTCAATCATATTAATTACCTACCATAAATAATAAGACTATTTGTGCAACAAGGCCAGAGGTAGGAACTGCTGCTGGATGTGTCTGGGTGTTGCCCACGGCAAGATTGTATTAGAGCCCCACACCACTGTGATGTTCAGGTCTGTTGTTGATTTAATATTTGTTGTTTATTGGCTGCTGCCTCTCCTGCTAAGAATTTTAGTTTGAATCTCATAGACCTTCTGGGTAGACATAGCTAAATAATTAAAGTCTCATTATCTCAAGACTACACGACTTTACTACAGTCAAAAAAATGCTGCATCGGACTGGAGGATATGTATGTCACACCAAGAGAGGAAAAAAAAGAATCAAAACAATTAGTTACGTAATGTCTTAAATATGCAATGTGTTTGGCAAAAAATACAACAGCCAGCATCTGAGGCAGTGGCATTTTAGGTGTGCACGGCTCTACCATTTGGGATCTGCATATACAGTAAGTAAACAAAGCAGTGACGCAAACGCTTAAATAGCGAGAGACATTGTTTCCTCCAGGAGAACAGCAGGTGTCAGCTGCACAAACGCCAAAACTGAGGCTACAAGACATAGGAGTGTGTAAACGTGACTGGCCTGCCTGCAGTCCATATTCATCTTCTATTAAATACATCTGGCACATCATAAAAAGGGGAGTCAGACAATGACAGTCAGCCAAGATTTGGCAAAGAAAAACAAAACTATATATATATATATATAGATTCAAGTAAATTAAGTTAAGAATTAAGTAAATTAAAATTAAATGAAAGAATAATGTGATCCTGTGTCAACTTAACTCTTTCTTGATTTTGTGTTGCTAATATTAAAAATCAATATGAATTATTATTATTAATGTAATTAATTCATTTACATCAACCAAATCTATTTTATTTGGCCAATAAAAACACCCAAAGTCCCATCTTTACCTTTTTTGATTAATAAATACATATTCAACTGAATTATAGATTTCAACTTTTGTGTTTTTCACTAGGTGGTGTACAATCATTTTCATTGTCAACTTTTGTGGACAAACAAAGACATCCGTTTTAAAGGTGGTTTAAAGAGACAGCGTGTGTTGACATTGGTCCATTTTAGCAAGGTTTCATGTTGTTAGTGCAAAACTGAGCGACCCTGACGTACAATGTTCCATTATATGGTTTCATAGTCTGATGTCACGTTCTCTTCATTTCTATCATCCCACATATGATCTGTGTTTCTCTTCATCTTTTCCAAAACTACACTTTCTCTGTGTTTTTTTTACATTTTTAAGTCACATCTAGCTGCCTCTGCTTTGCTTCCTGTGTTAATTTGTTAATTCAAAAATATTCTACGGAAATACAAGCAGAGAGCGAGAAAAGGGTGAGAAATTGTTAGGAGAGGAAAGTTAAAGGAAAGCCAGTTCGAAAATAAATCCAGAAAGCTTTCTTAAACTGAAGAAAACACAGAAGACCGCAGTCCTAAACAAGTGGGATGCAAAGCGAGGAGCTGGGTTGTTCTTGCCGGCTGTTGGGCTTCTCGCTGCGACAACACAAGTCGTATGGGCTCAGACAGAAGGAGTAAGGAGGAGCAGCAGGAGGAAGAGGAGTGCAAGAAGAAGGGAGAAGAGGAGGAGGAAGAGAGAAGGAGGCCAGGATTACTGTCCTACAGAGGAAAGAAGAAAAAAAAGGGATGAAGCGGAGGAGCAGGAGAGGGGGAGGTGAGTGAGATGAAGGAGAGACGGAGAGACATTAATATAGTTGGAATATTAATGCCGGACTCTGACATGCAGGTGCATTAATTATGCAGTTCTTGCTAATGTTAATGTTATTCTGAGTCACGTCAGCTACGGATGATGGTCAGTTCTTACATCTTGTTTCTGTAATGAGGCTCAGATCAGTGTGTAGAAGTCATGTTCACTGAGCGTCAAACCTCACTGGGCTTCGTTTACAAATTCACACTAATTAAGACACTCCTGTTAACAGAAACCTGACACTCAGAGAACAGGCTGTGTTAATGCCTGACACTGACACGTGGATTGTTTGGATTTGGTCATCGTAAAACAAGGATGGAAGAGAACATGGAGTTGAACATTAGCATAACGTGTGGAGTAACAAAACAACACAGCAACATCTGAGCTGATTCCAGTAAAAACATTGAAAGCTTGAATAAATCAGGTTGAGTTGAATTGAGTTCCACGGTGTTTGTACTGACGCCAAATACAATCAAATAAAACGTTTGGCTCCGAGAAAGGCTTTTGGCCTTTTTATGCTCCCAGAGGGACACTGCCATTTTTTATGAACACTTTTTAAATAATAAGTGTAAGTCAAACACTGTTCACTTTTGTTAATGTAACTCATATATTTTACTCATATTCATTCATTTCATTTTCATTCACTCTTTAAAGCATTTTTTTCAATTCACATTGTATTTTAGGCAAAAAATAGATCATATTTATATATTATATAATATTGTATATATTGTAATAAATGCAATGTATTAGTATCAATTATTAAAGAGTAAAATTGTTGACATATGTGAAAATATTTCTTATAATAAGTATTGTGTTATGCCTTAATCCTTATATGTCTGATAAGTTATGCTTGACTATGTGAAGGAAGTTTTTTTCAGTAGTTATATTTAAATTATATTAAATGTTTTTCTGGCTGAATTTGTAACAGTAAGAATTTTTCTTTGTTTGAATTTTCTTCGTTTGTTTGACATTAAGACAATGTTTTACTGGCAAACTTGTCAAGGCAGAGTAGCAGACCGAGAAAATACTCACATTGTTGACTGGGGTCTGATTCTGTCGTCATTTTGATATAATTGGTAGGCAGTAGTCCGATGACACCATTGGCTTCTCCTTTCCACCAATCAGGATCGTTCTTGTCCAGGACGTTGATCAGCTGACCTTTGGTGAAGCTCAGCTCGTCACGGCTGGCGCCGGTGTAGTCATACATCGCAATGACTTGACATACTGAGGGATGAGGCACAGAAAGTGTGTGAGTAAAAAAATACTACAAATATGTTCTAGAATTCAGGAGCAAGTTTTTACAGAAGACAACACTGACACAGTTCAGTTTTTAAGGTGACACAACAAAATAATACATCAATACAACTAAATATAGAAGTAAAACGTTGAGTGTCATCAGTCACCTGGTAGAGGTGAAGGAGACCACTTGGTGGTGGTGGGCCCCAGGAGTTTGACATGAGAGGAATGGAACCAGCCCCTCTGTCGCTTCTTACCTCGAGCCTGGAGGATAAAAGAAGACAAGCCAATGTGCATCAGTAAACGTACAGTGAATTCTATATCCAGAGTTAGACATATTATAATAAAACACTTAAATAATTCAAGGTGAATGGACACTGAGATTTATCAGTCACCAGAGGACCTGGTTGAAGTTTATGAATATGCAACATGTTGTATTCACAAATCTGAAAACCTGCTGCTGATTTGGATCATCTGTCCCTTCACTGCACAGTCAGAAAAGAGAACTAACCACATCTGCAGCCACAGCACAAACCTGAGGGCTGATCAGATTTACTGCTCACTCTTGTTGTTTCACCTATTGATAACTCTGTTATCGGCCCTGGAACCTCCTCTACACCTCCTCTGTACCAGCTCCTCATTGATTGGACCAGTCAGCAGATACAAACACCTCCACGGGATCAACTGTGATTCGATCCACAGATCTTTCAAGGATACTTGATTCAGGAACATAAAATAGTTGACCAACCAGTCAATATTTTTTTAATTTAATGACTAATGATAAAATACACAATGCAAATTTATTGGGTTTCTAAATTGTGGGAAAATATAATTAGCTAAAAGTTTAGGATTAAAAATGACTACAAGCATTTACTAGGGGCGAATACAGTATATAAGCTATTGTCGTGTAAAAACAAAGCTATATCACTAGAACCCTTGTGAAGATGTGAAATGTGTGACCTGCAATTCCCCAAGCCACCAGCCGGTGGAGTTCTTGGCCAAGACGACGATCAGTAGTCCTGGAGACAGATGGAGCTGTTGTGTGGTGGGGTTTGATGTGGTGGTTACTGCCTGGGCGATCTCTGTGAACCGACAGACAAATCATGGTTAAGTTACACGACGAGAAGGTCAAGAAGGTCAACGTTACTGAGTCTGGAAGTCTGTGTCTTTTAATCACCAGGTTTCTTAGTTGTAGCTCCAGGTCTTGATGTCTAAATAGGAAAATGAGAAAGTTATCAACTTGATGTTTATGACCAAAAGAAATTACTTGGTTTTTGTTATTATATTTGGATTTTCGTAGACTGGATTTACTGACATCTGGCTCTACAGGCCGTACATAGTTGGAGGGAAACAGTCCGGTCTTATCACCGATGCAGCCTCTCCACCACTCTCCTTCTCTCTCCGTCACCAGGACAACATCGCCTTCTACAAACGTCAGATCTCCAACCTCTGGACTCTCGTATGTGTACAAGGCCACGTATTCTAGTGGAGGAGAAATGTAAAAAAATAAGACAGAGACACATGGCCAAATAAATCAGTAAATAAAAAAATGTTGTTTTGACATTGAATAATTATTTTTTAATTGCCTTGTGTAAGCAATAAAATTGGTTCATTTAAAAAAATAATTCAATAGTCTATTAAAGCAAAACACACAATAAAATTAAAAATTAATTACAGTTAATTATGGGGTTTTATGTCAAATGTACTCACCCTCCAGCTGCAAACAGTCAGTTGTGTCTGTTGCATCTACACTGCAGAGAAAAAAGAAAGTCAGTCAGTGAAGATGAAAAGGGAGTTGACCTGAGTGTGTGTATCTGTGTGTGTTAAACTCATACTCTGTGTTTCCACCCGTCTCCAGATTGACATAGTTTTTAGGGAACCATCCCTGTAGCCCGTTGAGCTGCCCCAGCCACCACTGATCTCTCTGCTGCAGCACAGTGATGACGTCGCCCTGCGAGAAGCTCAGCAGCGTAGTGACTGCTTCACTGGAGCCCAAGCCAAGGTCGGCGTCCGCGGTGGCTGACCACGATGAGACGGCACGGGCCACCAGACAGCCTGAAGACTGAGGACAAGGGGGAGAGAAGAGCGGCAAACATCAAGAAAGTGTTATGAATATATATATATATACACTGTATTTAAATGAGATCTCTGCATGTCAGACTTGATGATGCATTCAGTGACTTTCCCACCCTTTATGAAACAAAGCTGAATTATTACAGACTCCCACAAACCACGATAACCTACGAATGCCCCCCTTGAAACACTGACGTTTACTGATGAGAAACACAGATCTGTGAATTTCTGTGTGACCTGCAAAGAGAGAAACAAACTCCCAAAAGAGAAGAGCTAAAAATATACAACCATGCTGCTGTTGAAGCATCTGTGTGTGTGTGTGTGTGTTTGTGTGTGTGTGCCCAGGCCAGACCTACTTCTTTGACAGAAAAGTAACTATGAAGTGTGACATCACTGGACCAACAGCAGTTGGTTTTTAGGGGTCATTTCCCAAACAGGATGAGGAATGAAACAAGGAGTGTTTCTCCAACAGAAACCATGATAATGGAGGATTGTGAATAACACAAAATTATTTCTTCCTGAAAATGGATACTGACTTCTAAAGTGACTAAGTTGTTAAAATGGGTCAATGAAAGTACATCCGTTCATCTTTACTTACAGAATAACATTAATCTGAAAACAAACACAGCCAGAAGCAAAAAATATAAACACTATATCCCTTATCACCTGCGATGAATCTGATTGGACAACAGCAGCATTGTTTACCCTGGTCTCCACTCCATCAGGGATTCTGGGTTAAGATGAAAAAAAAAGAAAATTATAAATAGCGCGTTAAAACAAATAAAAATAACACCAGAAGTCCCTTCCTTTTCTCGTCTGCCCTGTTGCTTCATGTTACCTGACGTTCAGAGGTGGTGGTGCAGCTGAGGTTTTCACAGATAACATGGCCAGCGGCTGGGTAGAAGAAGCTGTAGAACATTTTTCTGCATAACTCTGAGGGAACCAGCCCCTGTTTCCATGGTAAGTTCCACACAACCACCCAGGCTCGCCCACAGTCTGCTCATCCACCTGTGTGCAGACACTCTTCATTAGGAAAAGCAAGGTTAACAATGTTTCACCTCTGAGACATTACGAATTCATTAGTGGAAGACAGCATTGCTCACTGAGGTCCAGTCAGGGATGAAAAACCAGAGTTAGAAAAATCAGACTGTCCACTGTTTCTGGCTGTGTAACAACACACGTTCAGCTTGTATTTTAGACTAAACTATGTTAGTGGTTTTGATGCAGAACAGGACTCTCTAAACCACGGGTGTCAACCTCTAATGAGCCGAGGGCCACTGCTGACACTGACATTTAATTTCAAAATGACCAAAAGTTGTTTTTGTCTAACATTACAGTGCAAACAGCTGGTACCAACATTCATTCCCATTTTCAAATGAGCACATAAAACGTTTTAATAATTAAAAAATTAGAAAATAAAAGTAAAAAAAATGACATCAAGATAAATATAAAAATGTTATAGAAATGATAATAATAATTGACGTTGGATGGGCTGTGGGTCAGAAGTAGCCCCCGGGCCGGGAGTTTGGAGCCTCTGCTCTAAACCATAGGTATAAATGTAAATGTGACTTGTTTGTCTCTTCCTCAGTCACTGTGATGGACAGGGCCAGTGTTCAGGCTGTAACCCCATCCTCACCTGATGATTGCTTGGATTGACTGTTTTCTGTCCTTCTCTGTGTCCTTAAATGCATCATCTGAGTCATTATTTGTCAGTCCACTATTATCATTGTGTGTGTTTTTTCCACAAACCTCTATGAGACCGTCAGCATCGATGCTCAGTTCATCAGCATTGCGGGCGACGAACGAGTACAAGGCCCGATACGTGGTCAGGTTGACCGACCTTTGACCCACCAAGCCTGGTAGCTGCCCTTTTTCCTTTTCCTTTTTTTTCTTCTCTTCTTCCTCTTTATGTTTTCTCTCTTCTTCCTCTGCCTCCTCCTTTTTCCTCTTCACCTCTTCTTCTCTTCTTCTTCTCCTCTCCTCTTCTTGTGCTTTTTCCTGTGCCACTAGGAGGCGGGCCTGTGCCTGCCTCTCCTCCTCCTCCCTCTGTCTGGCCAGCTGCTCCTCCAGGAGCTTCCTCTGCCGTGCCTCCTCTTCTTCCTTCTCCCTCTTTTCCTTCTCCCTCCTCTCCTTTTCCCGCTGCTCCTGCTCTCTCCTCTCCTGCTCTAGCTTGGCTCTTCTGTAACACAAATTCATTGTGTTCATGTTTCAGAGCTTCATGAGCACGAAAACACAAAAAAAGATGGGGAATTACATATGTTTGTTTACACACACACACCTGGCTGCCTCCTCCTCCTCTTTTCTCTTTCGTTCTGTCTCCTCCTCCCTGCGTTTCTGCAGCTCCCTCAGTTTTTCCTCTTTGACTCGGTACAGGTCGTCCAGCACAGTCTGCTGCTTCACCTGCTTCTCCCTCAGCTCCTGGTGTAGTCAAGGGACATTTAACATGTCACATGACAAAGAAAAACATCACGGAAATATAAACATGTTACGATAGGTCAGCGCAAGAATCGGAAAGCTTTACTTCTGCGAGAAACACAGAGCAAATAATGTAGTATTTCCCATTTGATCACCTTAAAATATTTTTTTTTTCAACATAAGTTATACACATGCAAAACATAAGTAAGCATGCAAACTGTACGTCAATCTTAAGCTGAGGTTTTGTCACATTTCACCCTAGTGGGCGAGTGTGTGGGCGTGTGTGTTTTACCCTCCATTGCATCCTGTTTGAAAAGACACCACATGCTAGAACCAGTTCATGGGAAATTAAACAAAGACTAATGTGTGAGCAAAGACAGAGCTGTTGTTAAATAATGGGTCAGATAAATAAAGAAAACAATAGGAAAGATGGAGCATCTCTACATGAATGAAAATGCAAATTCACACGATTATGTAGAAGAAGAAGAAGAAGACGAAGAAGAAGGGGGAGGAAGAGGAGTAGAAGATGATGATGATCACACAGTGGGAGATGGAGAGGAGTCAGGGGTGGAGAGAGAGGAGGAACAACCTTGATGAGAAGGAAAAGCTGGCTGAGGCACGCCAGGAGAGACAGAAGGCCCCGGAGGACACAGTCGTCCATGTCCCCGAGCTATGAGTGAATCGGTGTGTGACGACAGCGGGGGACAGATAAGTGTAAGTGTAAGTGATGCACAGACAAAGAGAAGAAGGTTACAGAGGAAGAGCCAAGTCGTCCAGTCGTGGCAAGCAGAAGAAAAAAAGAGAGGAAGGAGACAGAAAAGGTATTAAAAGCATAAAAACCAAGAAGCAAAAAATAAATTATTTTAACAAAGATTAAAGAAAAACGGTAGGAATTTGACATCATTTTTCTACGGTATTATTTAACCTGAGAGTTTTGTAAGTATGTGCTTGTTTAAGTAAAAAGGTATTCATGGCCTGAGGATGAAACTTAATGACAGTCACTAGTTGAACAAGTTCTCCCTGCAGAACTAATGTTTTGTCTTTGCATTTTACTACCACTCGAAGCTGCCAGGGTTGCGTACATCTAACCAAGTCTGGAATATAACCCACAACCCTGCACTATCACAGCCAACATTTTCTAACATCCTGGAAGTATTAAAAAGTTCACAAAGTTGAAACTTTGGTTTTACACATCGACATTATGTCATTAATGTGTTATATGAAAATATTAATGACTTTTTTGTTTAAATCTGTGGCAGTGTACCTTTAATTTTAAAATGTGACCTTGATTTTTATAGTAATGGAGTCACACTAGACGATTCCAGGACCGTGGCAGGATTTGCATAATTTTTATAGTACACACATGGAGTCACACTAGATGATTCCAGGACCGTGGCAGGATTTGCATAATGATCAGAATTAATAAAACAAAAACAAAAGAAACCTCATACAGTAATTAATTATAGTTTGTTTTTATTTTATTAATTGTGTAAAATTACCTTAACGTCATAGAAGCCTGTCCCTTAAAGACATTATTTTACTCACAGCAAAATAAAATAAAAAAAATTGTCTCACACTGTATTTAAATTTAGTCAAGATACATTTGAACTAAAAAGACATTACATGAAGTTTATATTATCCAACCGTCTCTATAACAGGAAAATGGAGGAATATGATGTAATATGTCATATTATGTAAATACTAGATTTAAATTATATCATACCCTGATACGGATTAATCTAATTCTTATTTGCCTCTGACTGACCTTAAGCTCCTTGTTGTACTGTTCCATCTGGGACAGTTTGTCTGTCGTCTCTCGCTCCAGTGTGTCCAGTTGGTCCTTCAGTCTACGGCAGTTCACGCTTTTCTCTGTCACATTCGCAGTCGCAGTGGTCAGGGACGCTGCTGCAAGCCAAAGGGCAAAGGTCAGGTTCAAGTGAGCAAATGCACGTATGATGATCTTTGTTAGATTTGTTACCCACAGGAGACTTTGTTGAGGCTAATGCTTCGCAGCTTCTCAGTCAACCTCTGCTGTTCTGGTACCAGCTGTGAGAGCTTCCTCTGCCACTCCTGTGGGCCACACAGAAAAACTTCAAATGTGCACGACAGACACTGTACAAACATGGAAAATGTAAATGTTTACATTTATTTACTCTGGATTTTTTACTCCTCCAATATAATGCCATAGAATATGCATTATGTACCATGTGCAGTCATTGATACTGTAGATGATAAAGCTCCACGATCATTCAATAAATTAAGTTTAACCTCAAACTGCAGCTGCAGTGAGTTGATCTCTGTGATTCGAGCATCTCTCTTCTGATTGACCAGCTCCACCTCTGCCTTCTGAATCCGCCTCTTGCTCTGGGCGTCACGGAGACGGTCGGAGATCTGCTTGTGTTTGTTGCCCTGGAGACCAGATGATAACAGTTTGTACTCAAACCCTCATTAGCACTGGATGTTCTGTGTACTGTGTACAGGTGAGAGTTCATATAGCCTCACCACAGCTTCCAGCTCCAACTCTAGACTGCGCTTTTTGGCCTTGAGCCGAGAGATTTCTTCCTGCTCCCCCTCCCTCCTCCTGCCCAGCTCCTCTTTCTTCGCTCGCTCCCATTCCTCTCGCCGCTGGCGTTCCATCTCCTGCTTTGCTGCCTTAAAGTATAAAGATATTGAAGTCCCCAGACGTTATCATCCTGACGTTTATGATACTATGAGTAAGACCTTCTCTCTAACTCACCTCCTTCCTCTCCAGCTCCCTCAGTCTCTCCTCCTCCCTTTGTCTCTCCACCTCTCTCTGCCTCTCCAACCGTCTTTCCTCCTCTAGCCTCCTCCGGTTTTCCAGCTCCCGGGCCTCTCTCTCCCTCTTTTCCTGAGCCTCCCTCTCTTCTTTCTCCCTCCTGTCCCTCTCTTTCCTCTGTGCTTCCACCAGAGCCAGACGCCTTTTCTCCAATTCAGCACTGCCACGTGCAAAGTTCTCCTTTAGCTTGTCCTCAAAAGACACTGAGAGGGTAAGGAAAAAAATTAGAGCAAAGGAAAATGGTGAGACATTTGGTGAAACAAGGTTGACCAAAAGGTTTGGGGAAAACACTGTACCTGTAATCTTGGACTTTTGCACAGGTTCCGGCTCAATAGTCTCAATTAAATTGGGAGTAATGTAGGGGCCCATTCCATTAACAAGCTCAGTTGTCTTGATTCCTCCCCTGAAACCAGATAAAAATGGACCAATGATATGTGCTAATAATACGACCAGTGAACCTGGTGTTTGTGTCGTCCTCAGCAGGTTACCTGAGAGAAGGAGGCACCAGGTCTTGAGGTAGAGTGAGCGGGAGAGGTCGGCCAGTTTTAGCCATGTCCACCAGGTGCATGGCCAGAATGAACTCGTCAGCTCGTAACTGACCGTCCCTGTCCACATCTGCCAGGGTCCTGTGTTGACGTGAGAGTATAATGATAAGGCCTAAATAGATCTGTGCTGCTTTTCAGGATAAGAATACTTCCACTGCGTGTTGACATATAAAGTTGCAAAGCTGCAGCTATGACACATTTTTATTCTAAAGAAGATCAATTAGAAAAAAGCTGTTAAATGTTATTAAATATTAAATGGAATAACTATACACTTGAATACTCTGATTTTGTGTATATATACATACACACACAGTACTTCACAAGACACAAATATATATATATATATATATATACAAATATATATGTGTGTCTTGTGAAGTACTGTATCAAGAACGACAGCAAGAATTATTCAAATTTAGAAATGTATGCAAAAAACTATTTACTCACCATATCGTGGCTAACTGAGTCTGGGTCAGGTTTGATGCCATGAGTGCATTCCGAACCTGAGGTCCTGAAAAGTAAAAATGTCACGATCAACCATCAGTGTGTTTGTGTGCCTTTGAGAGAGGCTAAGTGAAGGTACAACAACAGCAACAAGTGAACTGTGAACTGCTGTGTCAAACTTCAGCAGCCAAGTGGCCCTTAGAGGAGCTTGCAAGTAAAAGTGTGTGTGTGTGTGTCTGTATTCGAGTGGTGTTCGTGGAGACACACACACCAGATAAGTAGCCACTCATGAGCTTGTCCAGCGTGTTGAACTGCTGACGGTACTTCAGTCTGGACCCCTGTGGAACGGCCCAGTCACTTGTTCCTGTCTTTGGAGAGTTACTGGCCAACGACGTGGTGGAGGAAGAATTTGAACTAAGAACAAAAAAAAGAGACCGCTAAAAAAAAATGCCAGGACATCAACTTTAAAGGATAAATAACACAATAGCACATTTCTCCCTCATATTTAAACATCCACCACCCAACCACTAATTGTGTGAGACTCCCTGGTGTTATTCCTCAGCTCTTAATTAACTAGAGGACAGCAGTGCAAACCGACGCACGACTCTCGGTAATAAGACAGCGCTGTACGCTCGGGCAACGCTAACCAACCCTGCTGAGTTCATTGTAAACAATTCCTTAGCAGAAAATAACAAAAGCATAGGAAGGGTCGCTGATGTTTTTACACCAGAAAATAGTCTTTATGTCTGGGGGGAAACTCGTAACACTGCTGTGAAATGAAAGGAGAGGCTTCAGGGAGACAAAAGGAAATAAGAAGAGCGCAGGATCCTCCCTCTGCTCAAGGGCTTTTCCCATGTGGATCTGTGCACACAGTATAAGTAGGTCTCTGTGTTGGCCCTTAGCAGCACATGTAAACCAGACCTGGAACTTTAATTGTGTTTACAAAAAAACTGAGAAGAAAAGTTTATTTCGCCTTGTGTGTCAGAGTAGAATCGAGCAGAGGTCCAAGCTGCTGAGGGATCGACCTGTGTTTACTTTCCAACACGCTGGTATTAGGGCTGTGTTTTACCACCTAAACCTTTAGGTCGGGAGGTTTTTGTTTGAGCCGCTGAGCCATTGAAAACAATGAAACTCGACACTACTCCCAACTTTTTTCCAAACTTCACAAAACACCAGGAGGAGGATCAGGGATATCAGACACTACTGTTCACTCTTCACCCCTCACTTCATCCCTGCAGAAACAATTGCAGGGAGCGAGATACTAGTATTTCAGCATTTTTATTTTCATGAATCCCAATGGTTTCAGGTTATTTCTGTTCCTCTGCTCGGTGCAGTATGTGGCTGCACTTTTTGTTCACTCAAAAAAGATGATGATCCAGATAATAAATAAAAAAAAGAAGAAGAAGTCAAGCAGCAAAATTTTAATCAATTTGCAAGGTAGATTAACAATGACTGTTATTATTCATGATTCATTAAATTGTAAATATGACCAAAACACATGTTCAATATTATTACAAGTAAGAGCAGGTAGATGTCTGTGCTTCACACCTGTTTTTATGTTTGACTAATCCAAATTATGAAATTATTATGTGTCTGTATTAGAGCAAGGACAGAAGAACTGAGCGTGGAATCATTGGATATAAAAGATGCTTTAACATTTCTCATCAATTAATCATCACAAACTAATTAATGTGATTACCATGTTCCTCTTGACAGCCCTAATACAAACACCAACATGTTAATGATCACTGTATAAATCATGCTGGATTTTCCATCTCTGAAAACAAACACACAAATTAAATCAGGCTCAATCAGCCAAATGTCCTGTTCCCTGTTATCACAGAGCTTCATCTCCCTGTGTTCTCGTTCCACGTTCTTTCCTGAAAACGTTTCTTGCACATTTACAGGGGGTTGAAAGCCTGACTGTATGCGACTGTGCTGAAAAAAAAAAAAGATACGACTAAAAAAAAAAAACAACCTAAAACCTACTTGGAAATGACATGGTTTTAAATGGACGTCTCACCCATCTGCTAATGTACTGACAGCAAAAGTGTGGTTTTGGAAAACAGCTGATCAATCTTGGAATGGGGCCACTATCCTAGGTTTAGAGGGGTGTATGTGAATTATCATGCTTTTCAGAAGGTGTTTCAACTGTTACTTGTGGAATGTGGATGCAGTGGTGTCTCACCTGCTGGAACCCAAGTCCAAAAGAGAGTTAGCTTTTGACATCCCAGTGGTTGGAGAGAAGGTCATGGGTGAAGAAAAGCCAGATAGCGGGAGTGCTAGAAAAAAAAAGAACATTTTGACACAAAGTGCAATAGACTTTTCAGTGCATGTGGTGCTAATCTTATCTCCTCACATTTTACCTCACAGCACACGGACCTTCAGCAGAAAGGTTACAGACCTCTGGCTAAAAACAAAGCCATCATTGTGACCTACAACTTCAAACTGAGCAGGATTAGCTCAGAAAACTGGAGCCTTTTTATTAGAAAAGAGGAGTTTAGTAAAAAAAATATGTGGCTTCCCGTTTTTTGTTTTTTTTTTAATCATCCAAAGCCTATAATCTGATTGAACAGAGTAAGAATATAAAGACGTGGACATGACAGTGACAGATTGCAGAGTGCACTGGACTCATTTGTCCATCTTTATGTCTAGCTCATCCTCTCTTTTAGAAATCCTGACTTGACTGGACTGAAATCCTCTGGAGAATCTGGGACACACACCCACCAACCTGTATTGGAGGGGAGTAGCGGTGGAGTGAGGAGGCTGACATTGCCGTTTGGGAGTCCAGGATTTCCCAGAGAGGTGATGAGGGGCAGAGTCATGGGTGTTGGCACCAGGGGTTGCATAGACGGCATGACAGGGTTAATCGGGATGGGTGTTAGGATGGGCATGACTGACATACTAGACATGGACGACAGACCAACTGACAGGTTTGGCATGGAACCCATTCCTGTGAGGAGTGAGTACAGAGGTCAGTGTCCACTGTTAATAACAAACTAACATGATAATAAGGTTATTGGGATTAATGAGGTATTTTTTAATAAAAACTAAACAAATCAATAATGTAGGCAACAGCTGTTAAAGTGCATTGAAATACAATACTTAGGTTGTTGATCAGTTTTTTTTCTGCAGGAATAGCAATTTCTCAATACAATTAAATGACTATATTTTATTCCTTCTTTAAAAAAACGCTGACTACGCCCATTGAAAACCCCCATGACAACTGTTTTACCATCACTGACAAGTAACAAGTAACAAGATTTGAAATTGTACTTATATATGTTTTCAAAGGAGTTTTACCGTAGCGTGCTGATGAAGGCATGGTTGGAGCTGAATTAGAGGCAGGGGGCTGCTTCATGATGATTGGCAGGGAAGAGGGCAAGTTCTGTCCCTGAAGTTTGAGTTTGATGAGTTTCATGGCGATGGAGAACTCCAGTCTGTCCATCTTCCCATCACTGTCCATATCAGCAAGGTTCCTACGTGAGACAGGGGGGCGGGGGGATTAGTGTGTCATGTTTATATAAAAACATACATTGCTCCTGTCTTTGTTTTGTGGCGAGGCAAAATAAATACATTTACACAGGGGACAGAGCTCTGGTGGAGCTGAATTCCAGTGGCGTTGTTCACACAAAACAAGCAAAACATACACACACTGTGTCCTAATTACACAGCACACACACACATTTTCTTTCTCCCCCACAAGCTCTCCCTTTCTCTCTCACGCACACACAGGACTTGGCTAGGTGGGGCAGGCAGCAAAGGAAGCCAGTGCTCAGTAGGAAGTTCAAAGCGGGATTAAAACACCAAACTGACTCCTGACGCAGGAATAAAGAGCTGCAGCCACTCATCCACTACCTGTGAGATTAGCAGTATTATAGCATTAAGTCAATAATGTGCAGTTACCAGATCTCAGCCAGGACGGGCGGAGGCAGACCAGACTGGAGGAAAAACTTCCTCGCCTGTTCACCTGCGGACGAGAGACATAGGGTCACTGATAAGACGACGTGTGTCGCTTGTAAACATGCGTTGAGTTTGTTTGTTTTGACAACAACTTACCGGAGACATAGCCAAGGACGGGGAGCAGGGTGTCAAACTGTTTGTCATGTTTGCCCCGCTCCTCCTGAGTGATGGCCCACACACTGGCTCCACCTGAAAGAACAAGGTGGAAAGAAAGAAAGAAGTTTTTTGGGGGGGTAGACTTCCAGACTTTTTGGTTATGTAGCCACTAGTTATAATTAAAACACAAACAGTAGCCTCCACTGTGGCCAAAAGGCAAACACTGAGAGGATGAGAGGGAGAATTCTTCCCCTCAGGTCATTGTCTGCTCAACTTTAAACTCCCATACACTCAACACAAACATCACACAAACTAGTGTGTATATTCTCTATTGTGTAATAATAGGGTGTATCTGACAAAAAACTCTAGAGGCTTTTGCTCCCACTGTGGGCTGTTGTCAGGTTACAAGAACACTGGAGTGTATACACACACACAGACACACAGGTAACAGTCCTGTACACTGAGATAACAGTCAATAAAATGTTATTGTTACCTATTTCTTTCAAGATGAGAACCATTCAACTCGACCTTCAAGATCATGAAGTCTTTAGTCTTTAGGTATGAAACCATTTTTTATTTTCTTCTCCTATCAGTGCATTACTCCACCCTGACCTTAAAAACAGAGTTAATTATAATATCACCCCGAGTCACTCCGTACACTGAGAAGATGATAAATACACTGTAGAAACAAGTGTCAAAAATGACGGACATCATAACAAGTACATTTTCATTTTTTTTCTGTTGACACTGCCTTTGTGCATTGACAACATTGTTAACTACAGTTAAATATACAAGTAAGAAATAAAAGTATTCTTCAGGTAGTTGTACACTTTGAACTATGACAACACTTATCGACTGTAGGCAGAAAACAAAACAAAATACAGATTATTTTTGATTTGCACTGTTTAAAATGTAACAACTATTTCAGCCATAGCTACAAGAAGAAGAAAACTATTCGATGACCAAGCCATATTCTGTATTAACACCTACAGTCAACAAACTCTGCTTAAACTCAAAGATTGGAGGCTGGAGTCTTAGTGCTGTGTTCAGTCTCCTCTGCCGTTTTATCCAGAAATTCCTGCATGAACTCCACCCTGACTGAGATCCCCCGCTGAGATGAAACCACTCCTCACCAACTCCTGACAGTGGCCACTGCATAAATATATGTCACGTCAGCACTTTTGCTCCTCATTTTAGTTGTTGCATTTCAACATAAGAGCCAAAAGGTCGTGAATTAAATATAGAGTCAAAAGCACTGTGTAGGGTGTTTGAAACTACACGTACATAAATTACCAGGGTCCGATCCGTGGAGAAGGTTTTTATAATAAATGTTTAATGAAAACAGAGCTGATGCATTAAACCTAATGCAATTCTGAAAGTCAAATTATAGCACCATCAGTGCAAAGTTAACTTCATCGTTTTTACTGCTCCCAGACATCATTACAGAGTGATGGATGAGGTGGACTAGATGCCCAGATGGACGTGTCCTTGCGGTAGAAGGGCAGAGACGTGTGAGACAGTGAATGAGTGGAGACAGTTGACAAAGAGGAGTGGAGAGCGATGAAGAAAAGATGGAGTCACTCCACAGAGAGTGGGTAAAACACTGTCTGTGTAGCAGCCTTTTCCCATCGTCATTCTGTAGACCGACAGCAACAGACGGATCTCCCTAATGTCAGTGGTTACCATAACAACGGCAGCAACACAATCCTTCAATAATGTTTGTAGAGACTCACCACAAAAATGATTTAGGGGCCAGGGAATCTGGAAGTCAAAGTATTTCTTTTTATTATTATTAGTAGTAGTAGTAGTAATAAATAACTTGACAGATTGTTTTTAATTTTTCTTTAAGAGTTACCATTTTCTAGCATTAATGTAAAATAAATACAATATACAATACAATTTATCAATATATCACTTTGGTAATTACATGCTCTGTGCAGCTAGAAATGACTGGAACTAATTGGTTGACTTGTGACACTGCAGTCAAAGTCAAAAAGGCAAAAAATGTCTCCTTTTAAAAAAACACATTTAGATCCAGAGGGTAAAAAAGTCGTCCAAAGTTCAAATAATAACTGAAAAGCATTGAATTGTCAAGAGCTTTATGGGTGGATGCCTTTACAGACCTGGCACCCATTCTGTAATTTCTTCACCAGTTGCAGGAAATGCCATCCTGCCCATGTTGGAACTTCCTCCCACTGCACTAACCCAAACAACCCACTGGCCCCTGATGACCGCACACCAATGTATTACACACATCTCAGAGGAATGACACAATACCCTGCACTATCCCATCAGTGAATTAAGCTAGAAAATGACACTAAAGAGGAAACAAAAATAAACTTAAACACAGTATTTCTGAGAAGACAGTAAAACCAGTCAACTTTATGGGCAATATTCTGCTTGTCAACGACCATTGCCAACTGCCGTGAACCACATCTCACTCTCAAAATCCACACAGAGATCCAGAAGCCTTTCAACCACATGGATGTGTTTTTTCTCCCCTGACAAAGTCGGTGTTTGTGGCCGACCTACTTCTGGCATTGTCAGCACAACACGGGCGTTAAAAGGGAGAGAGTAATTAATCTCACACAGAGATGTGAGTATTCTTCACGTTGTCTGTTCGGCCTGGACAGGCCTCTTTTAGAAGCCGCTGTAGGTGAGAAAGTGTGGAGATTTTTAGCACAGTGCCTGAGGGACAGCCAGTCAGGCCTGTCAGTTGATTCAGAGACAGAGGAAACAGGATGCTGCAAAAATTCTGTACTGTCCATTGAGATCTGTTGTCTGCGGTTTGATGCTGAGTTTGATGAACATATGGTCACAACAGGCTTGAAGCTATTTATGTTGATCACATTTTTGTATTTGACAAAAATGCAGGTGAGCAACCATAGAAAACTCCACCACATTGGAGGAGACACCTCAGGTCAAAGTCTAGATAGCAGCAGATAACCGTACTGTTAGTCAGAGAATCCATCTGTTGACAACTCCACCTTCAAATCAACTACATCATACTTCAGTCTTTGAGCATGTATACCAAAGCCTTGCCACCTCCTCCACCCCCCACTCCTCTTTTCCAGTGTGTGCTGTTGTCTAGGTGCTACCCAGTCCTAAGAACACGCTTGAGTCAAACCCCCAGACACTCAGAGCACATCCTCTTAGAAAAAAAAAACAAAACACATCACCTCTTTCAGAAGTGGCCATTGACCAGAAACCTGCAGTACCTCTGGTCGCTCTTATATGGGAGTGTTAAAGGTCTGTCTGTTCTGAAAATTCACAGACGTGTGACCTCATAAATGCCTTAATGCACATTCAGAGTATGATTAAGTACAGTGATTATGCAAAAACCTGATCCTCATTCCTTATTAGTGTTCACTCCTGAGCAGGGAGTTGGGTGGATATGTTCTACTGCAGAATTAGCCATGTGGAAACACACACACAGGCACACACACGGTGTAAAAAACACTTTCTTTGGTCCTTTGTGATTTACCAAATGATCAATGACAAAAGGCTGGATTAACACTAAGGTCTACACACTGTTGACCAATGCTGACCATGCTGTGGACAAAACTCACAGATCATCTTCATGGCTTCAAGACACAATAGCAATTTCTGGGACAAATTGTGAGAAATTTGCAATTAACATTCACAGTATGGAGGTTTCACCAAGATTCAGCAGAGATGAGAAGTTCAGGCGACGTCTTTTCTGGAGTGGACGATCAATAATCTACTGCTGTTTCTCAATTTTCTGGTTTGGTCAGCTCTTGTCTTCTCAGCTGCACGTCTTCTATAGGACAGACGTCCAGTGACACGAGTCTCTCTTGCTTGGTCCACTCTGACTTAATCCCTCAGATTCTAAAAACCTTCCTTTTGCTTCTTGTGCATTTTTAGCCTAAACCAACGTCCCTGCAGCGCTCGCTTGTCTTAAATGGACAAAAATGTAGATTACTGACACACACACACACACACACACACACACACACGAACGCACAGAAACACACGGGAGTGAAACAACGTGTTCTTACCATTCATGGCTGCAGGCGGAGAGCACAGGCAGAGGGAAGTCCTCTACTCAGCTGGCTTGCTCTCAGACATCTGCAGAGAAAGAGAGAAAGATGTGAGCGTATTTCTCTGTGTGCTCTGTGTCTATGTGTAATTGTGTGTGATTTTGTGTGTGTTGTACGAAAGGAACAAAAAAAAACTCAAGTGTGTGCGAGGGCATGAGTAAAATAAAATCTCATCTTTCTTTGAAAATGAAAGGGAGGCACGATGCACGGCAAATATGTGAGGGCTGACGTAGAGGGAGGGAGGGAGGAAAGGAGGGAGGGAGGCGGGTAAAATGATGATAGAGGGATATGACAGAGAGAGGAGGAGGAGAACAGAGGGGAGAGCGGAGGTGCACACCACGCTAACAGGCAGTCGTAGGCAGGAGGAGGACAGGCAGCAGAGGGATTAATAAGAGGAGGGAATGATGCTGGTCTGGGAGGAGAGCATCTTTCACCACCGTCTGCTCTCAGATCACAGACGGCAGCCAAAATCACCAGTCTTTTACAAATCTTATTGTCTTCTTTTTCCATTTTGTCCAATTTTGTCTTTGACGCCTGGGCCTTTTTTTCACATCATCATTTGATTTGGCTTCAGCTTTCAGTTAAAAAAACACAGATCTGCCTCATGAAGCACACAAAGATTCACTTTATTTCCAATAGATGTTTCTGCAATTTAAGCCTTGTCTAATAAAGAAATAAAATACTCACATGTACACGGATTTATATTCTGCAAGATTTATTTGGTGTATTTTGTAAATCATTACAACTAAATGCAGAATCGTATCAGTTCAGCATCAAATTCTTCTTTTCCTTTACAGAAATTAGTCTTTAAGTCTTTGCACAAAACATACAACAAAAATTAAAATAAATAAAGACATTTTTCAAATTAATTTGATTAAAATTAAATAATATGACAAAAAATACTAATTGACTTTATTATTAATTTTATCTATATAAAGTATGAATGTCTTTTTTAATATCACAACTGGGTGATCCAGGACTCAACAGATAGTAGATAGTACTAGTTGACCTTTGACACTACAGGAGATACATGTAGTGTTGATTACTTTAAGCATAAAAAAAAAAAAAAAAAAAACCCACAATGACAGAGCATCTCCCTTTCATTTGATAGGTATAAACTGTACAGTAAACTGCCATCTCTGTACAGGACTTCGATCTACCATTAGGAGCAAAACTATAACAACTAGATTGTGACAGAATCGAAGAAGTCAATGGAGTCAGTGTGACGTCTCCATTTCCTCAGGGAGACATGAGCAGAACAGCTCTCTACAGGAGGTCAGAAATTCAGAATTCTGTGTCAAGTACTACTAACTACTTCCTGTACTTTTCTATATCTGAATTACAATCACTTTTGTATCTTAGGGTTGCTGCAACAGTCCACAGCGAGGTTTTGACAGAGTTTCTACACCGGATGCTCTTCCGGCACAACCCAAACTTCACTCAGGCCAAGACGAGTTCGATGTCTTTTAATAGCCCAAATTCCCAAAACACTTTATGCCATAATGTACTTTTCTCTATTACCCCAGGGAAACTGAGTCAAACAGTGTCTTGGAGTGCTTTCCTGCTCTCAACAGAAAGTTAAAAAAAAAAAACAGTCAGAAAAAAGTCTAAAATGTCAAGGACACAGTTGGCTACATCCAGTACTTTTGTATAGTTCAATCACATCCAGCTCTAGTCCACATACAGTAGTGATGTGACAGGCTTTTTTTACACCACAAAATAATTGTTTAGTGCTACAGTCTCAGATAAAGAGGACATCCAAGGTTATGGTTATTTGAGGCAATAATAAAGATGTTTTGTCCTCAGCCATGCAAACATGAAGGACATTTCATGTTCTATTCTGTTCAGTGCATATGCCTAAGATTTTAGCGTTCAAGCTGTGGCCTAAACTGGGACAATGGCATCATTTCAGCTTGTCCTGTGAGTGAAGTCTTAGTCATAGTTTTGCCCAAAGCTGAGTAGCAGGCTCATCATGTCATACGCCCAAGGAGTTCCTTCAGCATGACCAGCACTGCTACACATTTTCCCAATTCCTCTTCTACCCCTTAATCCTCCTCTGGGTCTCAAAGGAGCTGCAGCCAATCCCAGCTGAAGATGACCTTGGACGTGTGTCCAGTCCACTGCAGGACAAACCGTTAACAGACAACTCAATGTCAAAGTGTCCAATTAACTTTCTGCTTAATGTGCATGTTTCTGATGGACATGGCTCCATTAAACAGCCTGTTTACTTGGGTTTGGCACAGTATGAACAGAGTAAAAAATAAAATCCATCCATCATCTACAGCTCACTCCTTTGCAAGATCCATAATGTTTAACACCATCTCATATGAATGAAGAGCAGCACTACACTAAAGCCTGCAATATTAAAATTCTTCCTTCGTCCTGCTGTAGTAGCAGCATTAAAAAAAATTCTCAGGCAATAACTTCAGATACAATTATCCATCTGCAATATACAATATTATACTCCTCAGATTTATTTCCTTATTGTTCTCCTCTCATCCATCTACCTGAAGGACTACAGTTTGTGATTTCACCAAATCATTCCTCCATATTTTTCACTCACTTTGTCTCTGCTTGCTCTCCTTTTCCCTCATTCCTCTAGTTCTCCTTCATCCCTGGTTGGAGCATCTCCTCTGATATGATTCACAGCCGCTCGCTGCCATCCTTTGCTCCCCCTTCTGCTCCACTTACACAACACTTCCATCTCTGCCTTTCCTCTTAAAATATGGAGTCCAGGAGGGGAGACTGTGCTGGCTGTAGTATAAATCACTCTCTGCCCATGCCCACACTGCCAATCACTTAAGGGAAACGAGCTGCTCACAGTGGCAGGCTTCTGTACGAGCACAAAAATAAATAAATTAAAAAAAAAAAAAAAAAAAACATCCACTGCTGCATGTGTGCAAAACTATTACTATTTACAATCCCAGTTTTAAAAATACAGGTAATCTTGCACTCAAAAACAGACAAACATTAATATTACTATAGTTAATCCCATAATGCATCATTCCGTACACAAATGTCACCTGACAGTGATGACACACACGCTAATAATGGCTAATCTCAGATGACAGTTCCCTTGACTTTAAACTCGTAACATTTCATACAGCGTTTATGAAACAGATACTTGGCTACACTACTGCTGTAATGTTTAATTCATCCTTTACATTTACAGTCATTTTGGGAGGAATCGATGCTGCTGGAACATATTACACTTTAGGGACAACAGTTATTACTTTGTCCAGAACATAGACATTGGCTCAAACACAGGATTACGTGATGGTGGTGTAAAGTAGGACATAAAGCAAGTATGTGACGTGAGCTAAGGTTTAAACTGTCAAATGACATCTTTATGTGTTACTAATCCACATGATGGGAAAATGTCAAGAACTCCAAATTTATCTTCATGGATTAAGTGGATTTTAGCAGCTTTTAACTTCAACCAAGCCGTTGACCTCATCAATATTAATTTGTCAACAGAGTGTTGAGTTTGTTGATGTAGTCAAAATGCTGTTCTCCTAAGCATGTGACAAGTCTTTAGGCCGTTTACAAAACAAATACTTCACAGTATTAGCATGTTGTCTCTGATGAAGTACATCGTAACTACAGACCTGTACCGTATCGTCAACAGTGTTTGATACAATAAGTCTGTGACGTCACTCATTTGTTGAACTATTTCTTTGAGTGTGTCTCAGGTCTCTCTGGTGAAGGTTTATGTGTGTGCACGTGTGTGTATGTGTGACACTTCACTGTCAGATTAGCCCTTAAATTCAAACACTTGTCCACCCTGAGGTGTGTGTGGTTTCTAAATACAAGAAACAAGAGCTCCCATTGGCTAGTGTTCCCGAGCCTTTGTTGTTCAAATAGGACACATCCTGGATTAAAAACCACAAGACGTCAACAGAAGACATGACTCCAGATCAACAGTGACTGCACCCTCTGATGTGCTCCACCGAGTCACGACTCCTAAACCCACAACAATTGGACGGGACAGGACAAGTTGGTTATTACAATATTACATTTTCTTTAATAAAAGTATATTCATGTTTTCAAGTGTATCTTTATAAACATGTATTGGGGCTTAAAAACATTTTCAAAATTGATTAGACACTTGTAATATGTAATAAAACTGAAGCAACCTGTTTGACCGGAAACTATGTTTTTACACTAGGTTAGCCATGTGGGGATGCTGAGAAATGACACACGTAGCACTTCTGATATAAGGGACACTGTGACAATAAAGATCAGTGACTGGTTCGCTGACCCACTGCACCATGGGAAAAAAATTAATCAAAGAACCTTTGACTGCGGCCTGCATGCTGATTGACACCTGTGTGAGCCACAACGGACTAGACGGATGTGAATATCAATGCCTTGGCCTGTGTGAGTGTGTCTGTGAATATGTGTTAGTGTGAGAGAGAGAGTCTGAGACACACTCCTTACACAGAGGGGGAGCCTGTTCAGGCAAAGGCACAACTCAGGAAGCTTTGCTGAAGCCGAAGAAGAAAGCGGCCTGTGTGCCCTGCTGTGTATCGTAAAAACAGACACATTTATTTGTTCTACTTCTGATCAAGAAAAATTCTTAAATTCATCTTCCTGATATGTGCTGTCATAAAAATTAAATTCATCTTCCTGATATGTGCTGTATGTGGGTCACCTCTAACAACCTCAGCCTCCTGGTCCTCTAAACTACCCTTCATGGCACTCTTAAAATGCACAGTCAGCAGTGTGTCTGCCCTCAGATCCTTACACTGGTGAGTTCTACAGAAGAAACTTCAACCTCTGACTCCAAGAGTCAGCCAAAACTGCCGCTAACCTTCTGTGGAATGATTCCATGTCTCCATGTCACGTCCTGAACGCCCTTTGGCACGTAGCTCCAATCAACACTGAGTGTATAGGAGTGTATGTGCTTTGGGGCAGTTACATAATGATTGTTGGCAGGTGGATGTGCAACAGAGTGGGATTGGGCCAGATGACACAGGAAGTACACTACAGATGGACTTTGCCACTTCAGCAGAGAAAACCCTCCCATCTCTATAGAACAGAGCGAACACACAAGGACACGCGCACGAAGCAATCGCTATAATTAGTGCATGCTGCAGTGAATGAACACAAACAGCTGAACGTTCTGCCGTCGTCTCCCACGAGAATTCCAAAAACCTGCTCTGACGTTCACACCTGACACACGTAACCCTCCGAGGTTAACTTTACTGAAACTAAAGCTAAACCTGAGCTGAAAGTTGAGTCGAGTGTAATGCTGTATTTCACAACACTCCTGAATGAAACTCCTGAGCTGTGTTTTGCAATCATTCACAGAGTCACTGGCAATAAGTTTTATGATTAAAAGCACCAGTTAAAAAAACAAAACAAAACTGCAATCTGTTATTCCATTAAATTCTAAATTAATTGCCAAATATTTTATTGCGACTAAGAATGATTCAGAAACAGAAATATGAATATGTATACCGATTACTTGGTGCAAAAATTAACAATTGACCTTATTTAATTTCTTTTTTTTTTAAATACTGTGTTTCAGACTCTAGTCTATATATATATATATATTCCAATACACTGAATTTTAACACTGCAGAATCTGTTTTACACTGTGACAGGTCAGATGTTTAGGACAGAATGATCATGAATGATGAGAATATTATCATGACCACAGACATCAAATAGTTTAGGTCAAATTCCATAAATTTGAGTTGTTTTATTTCCATCACAGAGACAAACCAAGCAAATGTGTGAAATCATTGCGTCATTTATGTGGGAATTTTCTCATTATGTTCATCTCAACATTTACCCCTGAATGTTTGCATACATGCAGGAAAAACCGCATTGTTTTAGTATAACTTGCAAATGACAACAAATGCAACAAACAATTGGAGCTCCCGTTTTAAAATGAAACTAAATGCAGTTGATGTATTATCTGATCACGCCAAATGCTTAGTCTCATCAACGCTGCTTCATTGAATTACACAAATGTTAATTTGTTTTTTTTCCCTCCGATCATGCATCCAAAACATACACTTGTGTAGAAAACCTAAAACCTCTTTTTTTCTCCTGCTGCTCTTCCTCTGCGGACCCGTTTCTCCTGATTTGGTTGCAGCTGCCAAATACCCACATATTTTTCTGTGGTCTAGAGAGTGATCACGTTTATAAGACTGCTCAGTGTTAATACAGGTAGGCTACACTGGACCTAACCAGGCAGGGGCAACACTCGTACCTTCAAATCCAGGGAAGGTTCGAACCCAGGTTAACAGAGACAGCAGCAGGATTTTACTACAACCCTGTCGCCCCCGTTGTTTTAAATGTGTGCTGTTTATTTACCTGTTGCAGCCAAAACGCGTCCCAGATCCGACATCCAGTCTGGAAATACTGGTGCTCCTGCTGCTGATTCTGATCCCGCTGCTGCTGTTGAGGAGGAGGGGACGATCCAGCAGCTGCGACGGGCGTGGACTAGAAATGGGCGTCTCCACTGTGGAGACACTGATCCGTGAGCAATTACACACAGGACTTCTGTGCAAGTCCCTTTCAAAATAAGACTCCATGTGCTGCAGCAATACAGTAGAGCAGCGGTCTGCTTAGATTTTTATCCCATAAAATGGATTTCGTTGTCCCGATCCCTCCCAAAACAAAATGTTTATTTGCATTTAGCTGTCAGTTAGTCAGTTGATTTGCCATTGATTTGAACATTTTCAAACCAATAAATAATTGTTTTGAATAATTTTATTTTCAATATGAATCAAAATAATTGCTATTATGATTTTTGCCACAATCAAATAGCCCTAGACGTCCCTCTGTTCCTTTATACATTTTACTGTTTTTTTACAAAACGTTTTTTAGTCAATTTTTGACAAAATAAAGTATGACGGTTTCTTTGGGGGGGGGGGGGGGTCCTGCAAAGTTTTCACATTAGTGCATATCATGTGTTATTTGTGAAAATATCAAAAATGTATCAGAAGTGAAACATTTTACTCTTTTTATTTTGAACATTCATAAGTGACTTGATGTAGTGCTCCTTGATATCGTGCTGTAGTTCTAAGAGAGTTCTTCACCTTTAGTTACACGGATATGAAACTGTAGCAAAATTAAAGGTTGAAATATAAACTTTTTAAAATCAGTATTATCATTATTCATCAGTATTTCAATTTTTAAATGTGTTTTTCTACCATCGAAAGATATCTATTTTATTCATGTTCCACAAGGGTAGGGTAGCGGAGTGATACATTTTATCGGCCAAGGGTTTGTCTACACTTTGGGCCCTCTACTAACGAAAGGGAGAAATGCAACCTATATGCCATTGCACTTCGACGATTGGTTGATACTGATACAAATTGCACATCAACGATTGGTTGTTGATGAGTGCAATTGCTCTGTTACGACAATAGAGGGCGTAACGTGTCGGCAGACAGGACTTACGCGGACGTGGTTGGAGACAGATAACGGCTGCGCGAGCACTCATCACTAAGAACCAATTGTAGAGGCGCAAGCGCACATCAGATCGACCAATCGTTGAAGTGCAATGGCACATCACTAAGAACCAATTGTAGAGGCGCAAGCGCACATCAGATCGACCAATCGTTGAAGTGCATTCGCACATCAGTTGCATTTCTCCCTTTCGTCAGTCAATCTTTGATAGTAAAAAAACCAAAATAAAAAAATAAATAATGATAATACTGATTCAAAATTGTTTTTTCTCAACCTTTAATAATTTCGCTACTATTTAATTCCGTTTAACTAAAGCTAAGTTAGCTACCACGTAAATGCTGAGTTTATACCTGTCATGACGATGCCAAACCCTTGTAGAGTGCAGTCGTTTTAGCCAGAAGAATTTAGACAATTTTGCAAAATAAAATTTAAAAATAAAAAAAAAATTATTTGGTCAAAATGGAGGAACAATTCTGGGCCTTGAATACGTAGACAATAAAATTATAAGAAAATAACAATAAAAATAATAATCCTTTGGTGACGTTTCAATAAAAAGTTGACGGGGGACAGTAACATATTGTAAATGTTTATGCAAATAAAGCTTATTAAGTTTGTTTGTTCAAATTGAGCTATGAAGAGAAATGTTACATAACATTAGCAGCTCTCAGCCGTTTTTATTTTGTGAAAGTAGCTCTTGGAGAACACAAGGTTTGTGACCCCTGTAGTAGAGGCACTAACATCTGTGGTGATGAATGTCATAAATTGCATTGTATTTGGAGAGCAATTTTAATAGGTATAATATAGGTAAATGGTTGAAGTCAAAGCACATGTGGATAGGATAAATTAAAATAATGAATAATAATAAAAAAATGTTATACTACTATAACATGTATTTTGAGAGTCCAGCTAAAAATGTAGTTTCCCCTAGAGGATTACTCCCATGTCCTGAAAAGCAAAATTGAAAATATGTCTGCTTGTAGATATATTTAGATCACTAATCTCTTTTAACACCCACAGCCAAAAAGATGTGTTTCAGTGTTTAAAAACAAATGACTGTAGACAAGACAATAAATGTCTGCTGCAAAAGTTTATTTCTGAAAAGAAACTTCATCATCAAGCCACTGAATTTCACCAATTCTCATTTTTCTTTTCTTAAAAGGAAACTTAAATATGTTATAAATTTGTATTAATCAAAGCACAAATCACAAAAAAACAATTTAAGTTTGAAGTGCAGGAAACACCTTTGACATGGATCAGACACAGGCTGTAATATGAAGTGTAATGTTGTCATGTCAAAACCCCTACATACACATTTTCTTGTTGTTACTGGTTTTAAACAAGACTGTGTAGAAACAAATCTTAAGACATAACTGATTACTTCCTATTTGCACACAATATCCTGTAGTCGTATAATGTGACACAATCTCTGTTCTGTATCTGCAGCCTCATTGTCGTGTCAGTAGGGAAACCTTGGTGGGGGAGATTCAGAAGGCTCTGAAAAGCTGGTTTGGCAAATATCCAAGGTGGAGGAAGGAAGTCTGGGCTTCGGTCTCCAGGCAAGAAAGCTCCTGGACGGTTGGAGCCAGGACATCCACATGACCCTTGTAGTTTCCACCTGGAGAAAAACAACAAGAGTCGGTGACTGTGTCCTGATCTACGGCACATTCGTCTTTTCTCTGTCACTCCGTTGCACGTACACACCTCCCAAAGCCCTGCGCTGACCATAGGTGACCTTTCCATCAAACTCATCCAGAGGTACTTTAATGTCCGACTCACACTGGGTGATAGTGCACTTCAGGTGCTCCTCGATGTCAGACAGGAGCTGAAATCATAAGAATAGGGAAAAAAAGGCAGAGACAAGAGTGAGAGGCATTTGAAGTAAAGCAGGGAGTGACGTCAGACTGAGATGTGGGAGGAAATAAAATGTCTCTGTGCTGTCAGGATTAAACACAACTTCATCACCTCATAGTTTTATTCTCATCTGTGATGTCTATTCCTGAACAAAAGGCATCTGTTGCTCCTCCAAGTCCACTGGTGAAACCCAGCGATCTGCTCTGACGCTACATGTTTGTTTACCTCTTTCTCATTGTACCATATGGTGCAACCTCCATCCTCCTTCAGTCGGGTGTTGTAACAACCTCTGCCTCGGTTTGGACAAACATGGTACCACACCTATGTAAGATTGAAACAGGTTTCAACAAGCAAAGTTTACTTTATAAACCAAGTGTGTGTGTGTGTTTTTTTATCATAACATCTACCTTTTCTTTCTCCATAGCAACCAAGGAGATGGCCAAACCCATTCTGTAAGAGGAAGAAAAAGAACCAGCTTCATTTTATTTAGTTACAAATACCAGTGAAATTTAATTCACATCAGAGTTGTTGTTGTAAGTTGTAAGTTCTGCTGAATAAGAAATCATAGTGATGGTAAATATATTTTAACAATATATTTTGGAAGAATTTACCTTTCAGCTCTTCCAACTCTGCCAATGCGATGAACGTAGTTCTGCTTCTCATCTGGCAGAGTCACGTTAATCACTGAAGTGAAAATGGACACAATTTAAAATTTTACACATGGAAAAACTGTTTCAGGGTTTGAATTCAGGAAATGATATATATTACAATATTACTGTTACCATAAGGGACTCCACTGATGTCAATTCCTCTGGCCGCTACGTCAGTGCAGATCAGGAGCCTCACCTCTTTTCTCTGGGGAAAAATAAAACAAAATATTATTGCTCCGTCTAACTGGTCGTACTTTGTCAAAGAGCATCGTTGAGGTTTGGTTGTTTTACCTTAAAACGATCCAGGTTATTTTTACGCTCATGTGGTTTGCGATCACCGTGGAGACAAACACAAGACAACTGGTTGCCTTTACTGTCGGGGCCTTAAAGAAACAAATGCACAGGTTGTAAATATCTCACCTTAGAAATGGTCAGAGTATCCTCTGACAGTGAAGGCATTTTTCAATGCTTGAAAAGGTTTGAGGTGAACAGAGTGAGCCCATTGCAACTGTATCCTCCACGTGTCTCGGCTGTGATGGATCTTACCTCCTCCCTGCTGGATGAAGTATTGCTCCATGTTGTCGCAGTCGATCTTGGTGCGGCAGAAGATGATAGCCTGGTCCATTTTGTGCTCTTTGATGGCCCTCACTGTGTACTCGCCTTTCAGTATCTTTATGGCTTCAGACCACATTTCTGGAAGGCAGACACACACGTCAATTTAAATATAAAGCTCATTATAAAACATATTAAATTTCACAAAATTAGAAAAATAAAATCTCCAAACCTGAAGAATTGGCTCCTGGTCTGGTGTTGTCTTTGGCGTGGACTTCATCAGTCTGAGAATAAATAAAAGGAAAACCTTAATCATAAATTAGAAATACCAACTTGATATATTTAAAAAACAGTGTACTAATTTTCATGTGGCTAATATAATAATTAAAAATAACTTGTAGATACCCTCTGCTTTTGCCCTTTTGGATTTCATGGCTCAGCACGCAAACCTTACCCTGATGTGGTTTTTGCCCAGACGCTCCCAGAGACGATCACTCTTAGGATTGACGGGCACCACCACATGGTGGACGGTCTCAGGGACGGAGTCCTCCCCCTTCAGGTCCACCCAGGTGGGAAAATGCATAATGCGCTCAGACAACTTCTTGACATCAAAAGAGTGAAGAGTGGCTGAGCAGACGATCACCTGAGAAAAACAGTGAATTTTCTTTTGAAAAAAAAAAGTACTGATTTGGAAACCTTTTACCTCTACCCAAAATATCTCAATATTGTAGCTTTGAAATGTTGTAAATTGAGGTCTATTTTTTCTTGTGAATTGAGGCTCCTCAACCATCTGTAGAAAAAAGACATTCTAAAATTCTTACCTGCAGCCTCTTGCCATCAGAGGTCACCTGTGGGATTTGGTTGTGGATTCTGTTGATGAAGTCTGTATATCCTGCTGACAGGAGGCCATCCTGTGGACAGACATTAGTTACAGGAATTGGTAACCCTGTCAAAATACATGTCCAAGGCTGGAGCGAGCTGTGCCTTTATTTTGAACATACACACTCATCCAGGACCAGAAAGCGAACTTGGGACAGACTGAGTTTCCCTGTTGATATGAGGTCATCCAGTCTCCCAGGAGTTCCTACCACAATGTCGACCTGATGGATCACATGAAATCACACAAAGTCGTCAGACATGGCTGGAAAGAAAAAATAAATCTCAAAATAAACAGACCGGAAGTTAATTATTTTATAATTAAAAACCAAATCTCACTCACCCCTTGTTCCAGAGCAGACAGCTGGTCTTTGGCAGCCACGCCACCGATCACCAGCAGTTCCCTGCACAAAAATGCATTAGAATGTGGCTCCATCTGCTGTTGTTAAACAGGCATTACATGTGAAACTGGAAAAGAAGCACATGTGGCTTAGAACAACCAACCTCAGCTTAGGGTTTTCCACATATTTCTTAAACTGTTTCACATTGTTCAGGGTCTGCTCAGCCAACTCTTTAGACGGCTCGATGATCAGAGCTTTGGGGGAGTTGGACGATGTTTTCACCTGGCTGACTTTGGCGCTGCCTGAAACAAAATAAAGCAGGCAGTTCTGAAAATAACTATCTTTTTCGACAACGTGTAGTTAATTCAGTAATTTGTGCAATTTCTGTGTTTTTGATTATTTGTTTTGTTACACCTACAGTAATGTTGCATCTACTCACCTGTCTGTGAGGATTTCACAGTGTGACCCTCTGGTGCCTGATTCAGGGCAACAAATCCACCCTTTGGGGGGTTTTTAAAGTCTTCTCCACCAAGATTGAACTTCAGCTCTGCATTCTGATAAGAAACAGGAAATTATTAATGTAAATCAGCTGCAAGACCTTTTGCCAGATTTTTTTTTGCAATCTGTAATCTGCTAATTACTAAATCACCTTTAGGACACAAGAAGCAAAGAAGGCCTGGTTCATCAGATTCTGCGGAATCTCAAATGCCACACCCAGTTCGGTGCCTACAAGAGTTCATCATATAAGAGTATGAAAAGCTACAGAAATGTTTTGTTATATAGCACAACAATAAAAACTAGTCATACATTACCATTTTTGGAGAACGATATCTGGGCTTTGTCTAAATCGAGGTAGCATCCAATTGTATCATGCATGGTAAACTCCTGCAGAAAATACACAATGTCATTCAATTAGAATCAAATCTGATCACACTGGTTTGCAGGTAGTATTGAAAGTGTTATTGATACCTCTCCATAGCTGTCAAACTGTTTGTTGTTTGACTTTTTTCCAGTTCCTCCAAAACCAAAACCATATTTATCAGTTCCTATAATGAAATAAAAAACAATATTATTCATCAAGGTCATTTTTTGGTACTGTAAATGAACAAAGGCACAGTAACAAGTGTTACCAAGGTCCAATGCTGCCTGATTGGTGGACCAGCCTACTCGACACAGACCCTGGTCATGGCAGGTCACCTCATAGTAGTACTTGCCTGGTTCAATAAAATGCAAGGACCCAGTCAGATTTGCATGACACCTTTGTTGCCCTATGATATATTATACATTTTACAACATCCAGTCTAATGGGATGAGATTCATTGCACACCTTTGGTGACACCTTTGGTAGAGCGACAGCCGTGCCACTCTTTGAACTCCCTGCTCTGGCAGCACAGTCCATCTGGACCGATCGCTGCAAAAACGAAATATAACAAAAAGTCATTATTTAAAAGAACAAAGTTGTTTTACTCAATTATAACACTAGGTCTTTTCACAGTTATTACCAAACGCTGGACTGCGGTCATAAGGATTCATCTGCCAGTTGTTAAAAACTGAAACAACACAAAAACACAGCAGGTCCATTATGAATTAATTTTTGTTTCACAGGCAAACAACAAAAAACTAATTATATCACAATTATTCAGATCATCTCACTTGCTCCTCCAGTCTTGACAGCTGCTCTTCCTTTCTTTCCTTCTTGCTGATCTTTTAGAGTTTCATACACTATCTGGATGACAGGGATACTGAAGGCCTGAGGATGACAGGTGATCTCAGTTAGTGTATGAGGGTATTCAAATCTCATTTATATAACTTTAATTGAAATAATAATTTAAAAAAAGATACTTTATTATTTGTCACTGGGGCGGAGTACTTACTCCAGTTTTACCACTGCCAGTTTCTGCTGCCTATGAGTAAATATAAAATCAATTGAGATTTCTGCACAATTTAAACGTAATGTTTGGTACACAGACAGTTGACAACTAACCATAAGTACATCTCCTCCACCAAGAATAAGGGGAATCGACTCTGCCTGTATGTCAGTTGGCAACCTGAAATAAAAGTATTGAGTATTAAAGAGATGCGACTAAAGATTTAGGCATGATTTTGCATTTCTTATGCGCACAGCCAACACGCAGCCCTGTCATTCACTCACAGCCACTCCAGTTCTTCCACAGCCTGTGCGATTTCAGGCATAACACCCATTTCTGTGGAACGAAGCGTGAAGTTAAATACCAAGTAGAGACAATTTGCTCAAATATAGACTTTAGTTCAACTAAAACGAGGACTTTATGCAAGTATCTCACCAGAATACGCTGCCATGACTGCTGATACGAACGCAGCTCAACCGGATGTTACGTTTCACAGTCGGCTCGGTCCAACATGTTTTATAGTCCGTTGCCGTAGCAGTTGAACGTTAGATCCTAATGGGAACATTGCTCCTAAGTCGTTAAGCCTATATTTTTATTTTAACATTTACATGCAAAACTTTTAATATAATATAAGAACACATTGTGTGCATTTGTTGCTTGAAATTATATATTTTGAAAGCATATTTTCAATTTCTAATTGCGTTTCGTTGAACAATTTTGACCCACGTGAGTCGCTGTAGACTGATGACAGTTTCTTCATGTAAACATGGCTGAAGAATGTTTGCTCGACAGCGACGAGGAAAATATTTTATATGATTTACTCGTGATCACCGAATGGCCGCCAGAGACGGACACTCAGGTTAGTGAGATTTCCACTTCCAATATTATCTTCAATCAACAGATTCCTTGCGTGGATGTACAGTCTGCAAAAATGGCCACCTATAATCAATTGCAACTGGTGCAGGGTCATCCACGCAAAGCCACGTAGTAACACCCAGTGTTGTTTAGCCACGTTAAATACTTCTAAGTTTTCATATCACAGCACTCTGTATTACCAGCATATGGCCATTTTATGGACATTCAGTTAACAAACAAGCATGCATTTACGAAGGACATCAAATGCATGGTTTTGTTTACTAACTGAACTAATTATCTCAACTGTCACCTTCCAACTTTTGCAGTTGCGTGGCAGCAAGGAGCAAACTGCCTCACTTATTACAAGAGCTGTAACAGGTAAGGTATGCATTTTATGCCAAATAAGAGCACAGTATGGTTTTTGGTTTAATTAAAGAAAGGCAATGCTCCGAGTCTGCAGTGTGCAGTGTTTGCAGAAGTCACAAAAAAACATTTTATATTAATATAATGCACGCAGATTGTTGGACAAGCAGTTTGTCAAAATAAATTCATCTAATTATGAAAACTGTTCAGAACTAATTTCACATATTACTTAATTAAAATAAGATATATTTCTATATATATATTTGAAAAGACCAAATTTTCTCTGCAGTTAATCACAGCACAACAGCCCAGAGTGAAGTTGCTCTCAACAGTTTACCGATCTACACTGTGTTATGCTGTACACTCCCAAAGTAATTGGGCCAAAACGTTGATGATGCTACAGTTTTATTCACAAACTCCCTGGGGACTAGTTTCATCAATTTCACCTCTATACACTCCTTGCTTCTTCTTCTTTAGATTTTAATTTCAGTGAGTATTACTGCCACCTGCTGTAGGGACTAACAAATAACTGCTGAGCTGTTTGCTAACTTGTTTACTGACTTTTTTTTGTTTCTGTATGATTTTTGATTTTGCTAACTTGTTTACTGACATTTTTTTTGTTTCTGTATGATTTTTGATCTTTGTGTTTGCGTTGTGTTTCTTTTAGGGCCATTTCGCTTAATTCTGCATTACTTATGGTACAGGTAAGTTCATTATTTTTTGCTTTAACCACAGTTGACAAAACTTTTGGACCTGTATGTTAGTCTATCAAACATGTCTAACATTTTAATATGCACAATATTGTTCTATAAATTTGTTATGCAATATGCATTTAAAATCTGGCATCCTGTACATACAACTAGTAAAACAAAAGCCATATAATATTTAGAATTGAAAACCAAATTGTAGTTAGGCCGTGGAAAACAAAGTATGCTATGTTTTCACTTGTCAGAGTGTGGATTAGACCTTGACTGCTTAAGCCTTTTGTACAATATTGTTTGCAAAGCACATGGTTTTCTATGTGGTAATCAGTGGCATCTAGTGGCCACTATGAACATTCACCAATAAATAAACTGTCCTTTCCTCATATGCCTGAGGAACTTGCAGTTGCATTGAGATGACATAAAACCGAGTTCTCAGCACCAAAATTGATTAAGATTACTGATAAAAGAAATACAAGAGTGAACTGATAGGATGGCTGATGGTTTTAATTTTATTTGTAGAGTTGTATTTGTTATGAATTCAGTGAAGACAGACTGAGACCCTGTTGCGTTAGACAAATACAGAAGAGTCAAACCTGGCAATTTATTTTGAACATCCTGACAAACTTCCGCACAGTTGCCAAAAGTTGCAAAATCTACTAATTTAATTATACCTGTGAAATGTGTAACGTGAAATACTCCTGACAAGGTAATAAAAAAATAAATCCCCTAATAATAAATTGTATGCTGCATTGCATTAAATTAGTGTATTTTTCTGACCTTTAACATTTGACATTATATTCTAACAAAACCTTCTAGACATAGATTTAAATAAATGTTCACTAAGATAACAGACACATTGACTGTGATGTGAAATAATAAACACCTGCACTTTTAATGTCTAAATATGCATCACTGAAGCATCGCTTCCAATAACTGAGTGTTTCCCGAAGGACTGGCCTTTTAGTGAGCACTAATTGAATTGTTGTGTTGTGTGTTAATGCTTTGTTCCTCTCAACCTCAGCCCCTCCAGCTCCTCTCTGCCTCTGGGTCTGGTCCGTCTGGCAAATAAGCAGATCAGCTGGCAGCTGGTGCTTGCAAGGTACTACACAAAACACGTGTGTACACACAAATTGGCGCGCACACAAACACGCACAGATCGATACCTGGACGTGTGCCCCCTTTATTGCCGACCCCTGTGCCGAGCTCCTCTCCCTCAACTTTAATTGTTCTCGTTGGAGGAGACACACAGAATGGAGGTGGATATTTAATTGACTATGGATCCGACCATGTTGTACAGTGTTAAGCACGGTCAATTGACACTGCAGATGTCCATTAGTCTGATATGCTCGATTCTTCGATATCATCCGTCTGCCCTTGTGCCTCTCATTTAATTCCCTCTAAACCTTTTTTTTCCTTCCGCAGTTCAGTGATCTGAGTTTTATTTCCTTCCTCTGCCCTTCGCACATTATCTGTACTGCACCAGCGTTGTGCTAAAAACACATCTATGATAATAACCATTCAGCTCAAATGGTCATGATTTCATCTGACATTGTGTAAAATTAGACTATCTTTTTTTTCTCTTTCTCCATTTACTCCTCTAATCTGCTGCTGATCTCTCTCTCTCTCTCTTTCTCTCCCCACAGTAACGGCAAACTCCTGGCAGTGGTTCAGGACCAGTGTGTGGAGATTAGGTAATGATTAAAATCAATAATTCCTCTCTGTGAAAGAGTCATTGTGTGCAAACAGCTGATTTAAAAGGCTTTTGGTAAATGTGGTTATTTATCAAGTCTCCTTTATGGAAACTGAGTTAAAAATTTAGAAAAATAAATAAATGAATTTTATGAAAACAACAGAAAAGATTCAGATGGAGAGGGTGTAAGACTTCTGCCTAAGCACACAGAGAAGCAGTTGTTTGTCCTCATTTTGAGTGGTTGTAATTATTTTCAGACACATATTCAATGTACTCTCTGTATACAGAGAAAATGTACTCGCTCAGTGGTTTGCTGTATTGACACAATCTAATGTTCTAAATGGTGCAAAATTGAAATGGAAGTCAATAGTATTGAGCCCTGTGAGCAGCACAAATTCAGCAGCATCACAGTCCCCATTTAAAAAAAAAACCCTACATTTATTTAAATAGGGAAACTGAAATAAGAAACTGGACAAAAAAAGACTTAAATGTTGGGACTGAATAATTCAGAAACATCTACCTCTAAAATGAGATTTAAGTCTGTTAAGTAGAAAAATAACTAAAATAACTTCTACTGTTGTGTTGTCTTTAACCTGAATCTTAAGTGTTGTCGACCTGCTGTTATTGAGAGCAATTAGTTTTAACTCTCGGTGCTTCGTTTTCCCCACACTGGATTCTGTTTCTCTCTCGAGTCCTTTTCACCCGACTGTTGTTTAATCACAGTGTTTTATAGCCTTGTTTCGTGGTATTAGTTGGTGTGAGTGAGTGTTAACACAGCTTAGTGGATAAGGCCTTGAGCTGAGTGAAGAGTCTGTCCAAACAGTGGCCGCTCTGCAGACCTTGTCTGTTTGATCCATAGAGCTATTGAGTTGGCAGAGCCATCAGTGGCTGTTACCCACCCTATACCAGGACATGAGGCTGAGTGCGTGTGCGGATGTGTGCGTGTGTGTGTGTAGCCTTGGGTGTGTGACATCCTTGTAATGTCGAAGTGTTTTCTCAGTGTGTGTGTGTGTGTTTTTTTTCCTCAGGTCTGTGAGAGATGACTTTGGTTCAGTCATTGGGAAATGTCAGGGTAAGATCTGAGTTCCATGTCTTCCATCATCCTCTGCATATACACCAGCTGTATTTTTTACACTGTAATATTCACTGCAGACGTTCAGAAAGTTCATGTGAATATTTTTTTAATACAAATCTTTTTTTAAAGAAAAATGAAATATTAGAAATATTTTTTTTGTCATTCTAGACACCAATAATTGAGATGAATAAAGGGTTAAGGTCTCATTTGGCTGCCTGAGGTTTTAATTAAGAGTTGAATAATGAGTTTTAGTATGTACTACATGTCCATGATTGCAGACTGTAAAAACAAAAGCAAATTCTCTGTGTCGTTTTATCTACCTTATTATTTCCTTTTTATGATCTTTATCATCTCTTACAGCCTTCTTTTCTGCCCTAGTGTCTGTCACTACATTTGTTCTGCTCCGTGTAGTCGTCATTACGGCTGATTGTTCTAATGGCATGGACAGCAGTAGCCCAGGGCCTTTATAAGCCTCAGCCTCCTCTTTTTTTTTTTTTTAAATTCCATTTCATTTTCTATTTCTCTCCTTCCTTTTTTACTTTTACTTCATTCCATTTCATGATGATTTGTCGTAATGGATTCTGCAGTGATCTTGCCTTTAATGGTGGACTGCGCTTCTTTTTTTTTCTTATCCCTGCGTGTTATGCATCCTTTGTGTGAGCGTGTTTGTGTGTCGCTCTCTGTCTCCTTTTCTCTCTCTCACCTCACTCCCTGTCTGCTCCTGTTGCAGTGGAGTTGTCTCCCGCTCTCTACATAATTCATAAGTGTTGAGTTTGAATAAAGGCGTTTGTGGGGCTTTAGATAGAAAGCATTTACTTGATGGTCGTCTGGTGTATGTTTCGCCCACCATCC